CTGCTGCGCCATCTTGAAAAATACACCATTGCATAACCCGAAAAATGAAGGGGCATTAATACACGATTGCATAACCCGCATATTGAAGGGGCAACATGCAATACTTTCTTTTTACAGCGTTGCCATATTGAACAATAATCCCTATACAACGCTGTAATTTAATTCATATTTTTCTGCACAATTTGGCTAAAAACTTTTGGCCTCAAATTCCTGTTTTTACCCTACTTACTTTCTTTGTTTTATTAATTTTCACAAATAAATTACAATTGAATTCATTTTTAAGTTGTTTTTGTGTAGATGAAACTTGGTCCTGCCATCACCTTAGATATATACCTTAGAAGAGTGATTCACAACTTTTTGTTTAAAATTGAAGGTGAGATTTATGTACCATTGTGACAATTGGCTTTACAGCTACACGCTGATACCTTTGAATTTTAGTTACTTGATTAATAACGAGAGTTACTTATGTTCTATCTACTAAGTTCTATCAGTGTAACATCTGCAACAAATTCGTGTAAAGTCCGCAACGCCATAAAAGCTTATTATCTAGTCCTACAAAAAATTGAAATGTTTTCTAACAAGTAGACCCTTTTATGCAAAGTTTAAGGCATAGGATGTAACGTCCAAAACTAAAATAATTCTCCTATAGTAGAGTATTTATGTGCTACTTATTGTCATTAAATTGAGAAGAAATTTAGATTCTTCGGTCTTCTGAGTGCAGATTAATGCGATAAGTATCCAATTTTTGAATGCAAAATTGATTAAATATTCGGGGAGTGAATTTACTCGATATGTGACAAACAACGATCCTGTTTGGATTAATTCTACCCAACATATCTAAATGCTCTGGTACAGACTCGAATCTCGCAATGTAACATGATGATAAGGAATGATCAGGGGTGAGGTCAGGGAGCTGGTTGCAGCGTTACACAGTTGCCATTTTTTGCCATATTACAGCAAAAATAGCTATTAAATACTCATAATTGAAAATACAACATTTAAAATTATTTTCGTATTCTACATTAGAAATCTTGGCCAGGTTCCAGTCTCTGCCGCTAGTGCCAGCTGACTTTCAGTAACTTTAAATATCCATAGAAAAATTAACTAATAACTCTGACTTTTAAGAACAAGAAAGGTATTTTTAGCAAATTGAGAGAGAGTTCACTGTATGGCTGTATATATATATATATATATATATATATATTTTTTTAATATGGTTTTTATACGGCTGTATATTTTTTGACCAATATTTTTATTTTTCTCAGTCATTTCATATTTTTAGGGCAAGCCAATGCGTTACTTCTAAGGATCTTGCTTGAGGAGAGTTCTGTGTGAGCAAGACGGTGTGTAGTGGGTGACTAGATTGATTTCTTTACCCGCATCAAACTCTCCTCAACTGAGATCCTAGGAAGCAAAGCAATACTTTATCTCAACAAACATGAAATAATTGAAAAAAATTAAAATATTGGCAAGCTAAAGAAGTGTTATGTCTTACAATACCTCGAGTTCTACCTAGTTCTAGGTTAGGCAAAATTCCAAGAGAAATGTCTATTGATATGTTTATTCTTCTTCAACTTGAAGAAAGAAACAAGTATCTCCCACTAGAATCCAAACAATACATTGCAAATAAATTAGTCCCTTAAGAATTTTGCCATTAGATAACATCGGTAGTTTTGTTCAGTGGACATTTGATGTCATGGACATTAAAAAGAGGACATTACGACAGTGAGTATTATTTATTGGACACTTTTACAGTCGGACATTTTAGACTGGACATTGTCACTGATCACCCTCCCTGCTATCATGTTAAACATTACAAATTATGACTTGAATCAGCAAAAATTAAATCATTCAGTAGAGGGGGAGGGTGAAAGGGTTAATAAGAGTTGGGAGGGGGTAGAAAAAGTTCTCTCTTTTTTTCTCTCTCTTTCTCTAACTTTCATATTTCTTTTTAGAGTTAAGTATAGTCAGTGAAGTATAAGTATCATGAAAATCATTATACGACACAGGTAAAAATTTAGGTTTATGGTAGACCCCACCTGGCACAAGGTTTAACTTAACTGGGTGGATAGGTTGTGTAAATAAAATTTTTGTTTGTACATTTCTTGAATAAAATCTTGAATCTTGAATCTCCGTACAGACTTCAGGGGAATTGGAAGTTCTTGTACCACCATTTCTACACAAGACCTTTCTGAAGACCTTTATCTTAAGGAATCGCAAGAAGAGGTCAAATTATGCCTCCCTCCCTAATTCTTAACTGTGGCAGTATAAAATTCTATGATTAAATAATGGGCATTTTCAAAAACGAAGTCATTAAATATAATTATGCCAGGCTCATTTGACGTTGAAAAAAAAAGTCTAACCATAGCTTTATATTGATAAATACTTTCCTTATCAATGGTGAAACTGCAGAAATGTGTATCTCGATTTGCAATGTTGCAGACCGCCTGTCATACTTTATTTCCCACATGGAATACTACTAAATGTTATTCCTTGACATTTAAAACTTTGCTGATTTTTATCTTCTTTGTGAAAATATTGTTCGAAAATGTTAGAGATGTTAGCTCGGTCTCTTTTTGAAAAGTAAAATGGGAGTGGAGATTTTGAAACACTGTAACCGAGGTACACATTATTGCTATTCACTGGCGATATGCTCTTTTAATAAAAATTGGAAGCATCTCAGCAACCGAAACATCTAACGTTTAAAATCAATATTCACCAGCTCAAATACAGACGGCTTCTGTTCTATTTTGAACAATTGAAAAATGTTAGTCGATGAAAAACTACAAATTAGACTAAGTAATTGGGCATCCAAGGTGGTGCGTACTTCATGCTGATGCGGAGGCAGATCAACAGTCTCAACATTGTTGTGGTATCCTTTAATGTTTTAAAAATTATGTCTCTGATTTAATGAAGCATTTATACTGATTTTACCACTTGTAATCTATTTTTTTTTAATCCTTTGATTTCAGAAACACAGCCGCTGAAGATGTGCAACAAGATCTATTGTTTGTTGGTAATGAAGAAGGTAAACTCATAGCAATTCGTAACTTAGTTAAGCAGGTGAGTTTTGCTCTGTGTCTCCATGATCATTCATTTTCTCTCAAGTACCTTTTAAAAATGTTTTTTTCACCCCTGTATTCTTATTTTCACATTTTCGTTTCTAGAAAAAAGGGTTATATTCATAATCGGCGATTTTACCTCCTCTTGGATTTTGCCCAGAGGTCTCTCGACCCAACTAATCTCATGGACGCCATCTTGCCTTTCTCGCCAATGCAAGTTTGACTGGAAGCTCAAATCACGCAACTTTGACCTCGTTTTACAGGGCTTAATATCATTCAAAGAATTCCGGGAACGTGCGAGCTACGTGCACTCTCCACTTTACAAAAATATAAGAATTGAAACTTACTAAACAAGCTCACAAAAGTACCCTGCACACTTCTAATGGGAATTAGTGCCCTGTTTGTTTTCCAATTTTTTTCTTGTAGGTATTAAACTTGTCCATGGATGCTGTTCAAAAGTCATAATTGCGTCAACTGCAATATAGAACTAATAAAATGAAAATTATTAATACAAAATTCAAAATTCAATGCAATAAAAAAAATTGGAAATCAAACAGAGTGCATACATTCCCACAAGGAGTGTGCCGGGTCTCTTGCATAGTAATGGTCAAGGTTGCTACAATCACGAAAAATTGAGAGTAGCGGTAAATGTCAGATAATTTTAAAAAGTCAGGGAAAATTATGAAAACGCCTAGGAAATTTTGTGGAATCATCTTGATTTTCTTCTTTAATTGAGGTCGATGTTTTAAAAGGCAAATGATTTTCATAAAAACTTTCTCCAATGGGCCGATTGCAAACTTTTGCTAGAGCAATAATAAGAGTTCTTACTCTTAGAAAATGTCTCAAAAATCAAGATGAGCGCATCAGCAAAGTCTGAAATACACTCCTTACTTCACAATTTGCATAAAAAATTCGCGACTTTTCGAGCTTCCCGCTTCAAAAACGATGCCACGACATAAGTAAACACTTCGTTCGAGGAGTCATTCCACCCAACCCTTGCTCACAAGGATACTACGCAGTATTCAACAAAGCCGACGCTAATCTGCCAAAACACATGCGACAGGATGATGATTCTAATCACCTGATAACAATCGGCGTGTTTACATTCACATTTTTCTCGTGTTGATAGATATCCGCCTTGATTGACCTTGTGCTCTCCTCAACTTGCGCGCGGAAGCGTCGGCCATGTTGAGCAGGGATTGAATGGAACGACTCCTCCGACGAAATGTTCACCTGTGCTATAATATCCTTTTTGATGCGGGAAGCTTAAAAAAACTCAAATTTCTTACGCAGAATGTGAAGTTAGGAGTGCATTTCAGAGATTGTCGATGCGCTCATCGTGATTTTTGAGACATTAACTATAAGGAACAACTCTTATTTTTGAGCTAGCAAAAGTTTGCAACAGGCCCATTATGTCTTATAGACATCTGGCATACCCTCAAATGTTAGAGAATTCTTTTATCTATCAGCACGGTGCGCCTGAACTCACTTTAAATGCGACTTTGTTGTACATCAAAAATTCAAGTTGAAGGTTGTAGTGGGGTACTCCCTGATGGGTTTTTGGGCAATTTCGAAATAGGTTGTCGGAGCTCCTCGAAAAATAATCGCATTTTTGTGGTTTTTTAGGGGTAAAATAGCAAAATTGGTCTCGGGGAGACAAATTAAACCCCCTCTCCCTCATCCTTGCCTTGACCGATCTGAATTTTTAGTATGTTTTTACCTGGTATAAGATGGGACTTTTCTGAAATTTTCATGCCCATACAAATTTTTTTGCTCCCGCGGCAGCGTTGCCAAGTTGCGGACTCCAAAATATCGAATTTAATGATAAAATGAAGGTTTCGGAGTGTGATTTCCATTCAAAATCAAAAATTCAAATTGTAAGTTGTAGTAGGGTACTGCCTGATGGGGTTTTGGCCAATTTCGAAGTAGAGTGTTTGAGAATAAACTCCCTCATAAAAAAAAAATAAACTAGATGACGAAATTAAAAATGCTTTGTAAATTTTTGGTTGTATAAGACATGTTTGACATTCCGAAAAATAAAATATTTCTGGACTAAATAAGGAAACATAACATTCATGGCAAACTCTGTTGCATGAGATTCCAGATGATCAAGAGGCCTCTTGAATTTAGATGGACTCCATCAGGTTTGTTCCGATCATATAAAGTCATAATTTCGTCATCTAGTTTATTTTTTTTTATGAGGGAGTTTATTTTCAACATTACTCAAATTTTTTGTGATCTTTTGTAATTTTTTTATTCTCTAAATTGTCGAAGGTATTTTCTTTACAGTAAAGAAGTCTTCTGGATTCGAACTATCCAATCCGCTGTATGAGAGAAGGTCGAATTCAGGGACTTCATAGCGTTATTTGAATCGTTGTTATCCACCCATTTTATTTGTGTTTTTATTTTTCATGTTTTTGGGAAAAATTCGGGGGCAAAATTTCAGATAAGATGTTCAAAGGATTGACTGCAACAGGGATAAGGTTTGGAGGGGGGGGGTGGGAGAAAGTTCTCAAATTCTACTTTCTGGTGATGGAGTAGATTCAAGAACTTTCTGTCAACCCGAACCGCTCGTTTTCCCCCGACTCATCGCTTTATCCGGCCTCTCTTTTTGAGTTAGCTGCACCCATCAAGTAAGTAATGGCATAATTTTCATGGTACCTTAATGCATAGAGTACAGAAGAACCGTAATAACCAATTCTGAACGAAATAAAAATCCAGCGCTTGAGGTTGCAACGCGATTTGGGTCATTTTGACGAATTTTAAATCGAATGCTGGCAACACTGCAACTCTAAATTATTCAAATATGCCTTTTCTTATCGAAAACTCTCAGATTGCACATTTTTGTGAAATTTTGGAGGAAATCACACCTCGAAACCTTCATTTTATCATCAAATTCGATATTTTTGAGACCGCAACTTGGCAACGCTGCCGCGGGGGGCAAAAAATTTTGTATGGGCATGAAAATTTCAGAAAAGTCACATCTTATACCAGGTTAATACATACTAAAATTTTAGATCGGTCACGGCAAGGATGAGAGAGAAAAGGTTTAACTTGCCGCCCCGTGCTCAGTGGGCTATTTTACCCTTAAAAAACCGCAAAAATTCGATTATTTTTCAAAAATCTCAAACACTCTACTTCGAAATTGGCCAAAACCCCATCAGGCAGTACCCTACTACAACTTACAATTTGAATTTTTGATTTTGAATGGAAATCACACTCCGAAACCTTCATTTTATCATTAAATTCGATATTTTGGAGTCCGCAACTTGGCAACGCTGCCGCGGGAGCAAAAAAATTTGTATGGGCATGAAAATTTCAGAAAAGTCCCATCTTATACCAGGTAAAAACATACTAAAAATTCAGATCGGTCAAGGCAAGGATGAGGGAGAGGGGGTTTAATTTGTCTCCCCGAGGCCAATTTTGCTATTTTACCCCTAAAAAACCACAAAAATGCGATTATTTTTCGAGGAGCTCCGACAACCTATTTCGAAATTGCCCTAAAACCCATCAGGGAGTACCCCACTACAACCTCCAACTTGAATTTTTGATGTACGACAAAGTCGCATTTAAAGTGAGTTCAGGCGCAACGTGTCAGGGAAATGTCAAAAAATTTCATTCTCTAAAATCCAACCCTGATTTGAATAGTATACTGCACTGTAATGATGTATGTTCAAAATAGAACTAGAATGTTTCTTGCCCATCATTCAATCTCTCACCCGTTCAAATGGATCAATGTGAATAATAATAATTTTTTACAGGGATTAGCTTCACCTGTTTTGGTTTTTGTCCAATCCAAAGAAAGGGCTCAAGAGTTGTTTGAAGAGCTCCTATATGATGGACTAAATATAGACGTTATTCATGCAGATAGAACACAGCTACAGGTAATATACCATGTTTTTATACGTTCTAAATTCTTAAATATGTTGGAATTAACAGGAACGAATAATAGGGAGGTGTGTTTTACAGAAGTTTTTGAAATCCAAAGATAGGTAGGAGGAATGTGGCTTTTGGTGAGGAAATAATGCCTATAAATTTGTAGAATTTTAGCTCCATGCCTTGAAGATCTTCGTCGCTAATTCGATGAATTTTCATAAAAATGTTTTCCTCTCATGGGACTAATTACAGCTTGAAAAACTATGGAATTAATGGTAACTTATCTCAAAATCCATTTCACATCTTCCAAAAGTATCCCCTGCATAATGACCATATTCTATTTCACGGGAGATGACCCCAGGTTTAGTATTGCGGACTGTCAAAACACTATGCAATGCAGTTGAATTTGACTTTTTCAATCGTTTCTATCATCACCGCGACTGTCCCTTCATTCTTATCTAGCAGCACTGGCTAAATCTACGTCCATCATAGATTCAAATGTAAAACTTGAGTTCTTAAACTATCAGACGGGTGATAGATCAGGGTGGAAAGTACCCTGGAGCTCATGAAATGTGTGAAAAATAAAAATATTTGGAAAAATTAGCTGAAAGTTAGTTGGTTTGGAAAGTTAGTTTGAAAGTGGAGCTTTTATCCTACACAGTATTAGCGGTTTAGATGTTCATGCTTTTCAAAATGTAAGCTAGCACTTTGCAGCTCAAAATTTCTTTCCTCTTCGCGTAGGGTGTGAAAGACCACCCGACCACTTTCTTTTTCTCGGATACGGCCGCAAATTGAGTCACCGGAGGAAAACTTTTATGAGGTAAATCAATCCCAAAAAATTCAGTGAAAATATTTTCAGCCTCCCCAAATTGATTTTGGGTGGGGGGGTATCCCCCCGCTTATTGTTTACATCTAATTATAAGGGTGCGTTTTGACTTGGGATACGTCAAGAATAGTAGAAAACAAGAACTTTTGGTCTTTGGCAATTTTTGCTTATTTCTCTTTTTTTAGTTATGGAGGGTTTTTGAGGGGTATTGAGAGCCATTTTCAATCAGTTGCTGTGTGCTGCCTAATTGATGGACTTTAAAAAATTTAAATTATTCTGAAACTGTGCCATTCTGTCCTATGAGGGTGATATCGCTGCTTATGAGTTACAGACCTAACATGATACATTTCGCTTTCAGTTGATCAATACGAGCCGCTTTGCTAAGTTTCATTCAATTAACTTGGCTTTCCACCCCTGCCCCTTGTCAGTCCGTGGTGAATTTGCCGCACACTCCCCGCCTAAAACTTTCAAAGCTCGCCATTTTTAAACGGCTCGACCGATTTCGCTCAAATTCAATACCAGCCTAGAACTAAGTAAGATCTTCCTTCTGTAAAAATTTCGGGGGAAAAGCTTTTAATTTGCGCGAGTTATCGCGCCCACAAAATTGAACCTCCCCCCACTTCTCGCCCCCACCATTCGAAATGTAATACTTCGATCTCCGTTTTTTTTCGCAGAATGGTAGTCCTGTTCCTCTACTTTACATCGCAAAAAGTTTCACTCGGAAATTTTTTAAAATGAGGGAAATATAACCAAGCAAAAATCGGAAAAACCACGATGAGTCGGGAATACATTTATAAATAAACAGATATATAAATATATATATATATATATAAATGAATTCAAACGGCATGCATTTTCGTAATCTACGACCCATGATCGATGCTCATTACATGGTCTTTGGTCCAGGTCTGACATCAGGGGAGAACGCAATAGTGTATTTCCTTCGGAAAATACACTAAAACAAGGTAGCCAAGAGGATTTTGAAAAAAAAATTTTTTAACTATTTGAGCAGCCTATAATGGTAGTAAAAATCCAAAAATTAGGGGAAAGGAAGTCCATACCATCATTATGGAAGGGCAAATGTCAGAAAACTCCTAGGTCTTTTATTTTCTGCCAAGCTATGCACACAATGGTGGAAAACCTGTCAAAAATAGCTCAATTTTGACCGTTTTTTCGCGTTCGAAAATTTTTTGGACACCCTGTAATGGCAATGAAGGTCCGAAAATTTGTGGAAAGTAAGTTCATACCGTTTGTATGGAATAAAAATTTTTATTTGGTTCCTACGTCTTATATTCTTTGTCCTGCGTTACCCGGAATGGCAGCAAAAACGTCAAAAATAGGCTGTTTTTGGAGAATTTCTTCGAACACCTTGTAGTAGCAGTGGAGGTTCGAGAATTTGTGCAAAGTAAGTTCATACCCTCCGTAAGGAATAGAAAAATCTACTTGGTTCCTATGCTGTACATTTTTCGTTGAGCGGTGCCCGCAATCACTTCGAAAACATCAAAAATACCTCAATTCGGCCGTTTCTGCAATGGCGAAATTTATTAGACACCCTGCAATGACACTGGAAGTTCGAAAATTGGTGAAAAGCAAGTCCATACCACCAGTATGGAAGGACAAATTTCAAAAGATCCACAGATGTTTGATTGTTTTTCGCACGGTGTCTTCAGATACACAAAAATCGTGAAAAATACCTTCATTTTGACTGGTCTTTCGCAATCAAAATTTAATAGCCACCCTGTAATGACAGTGGAGGTCGAAAACTTAGCTGAAAGTAAGTTCATTGCATCTTCATGCAACAAAAAACTCTATTTCGTTCCTATGTTATGCATTCCTCATTGTGCGGTGCCTGCTATCGCATCAGAAATGTCAAATACGAGTGTACCTGAATTCGGCCAATTTTTTGTGCGTGAAATATTTTTGGCACCCTGTTATAACACCAGCGACTTTTGTAAGTACCAAGCAAATATACTTTGTACATCAGAACGGAACGGCAATTTTTCAAAGACCCTTTCATTTTTTATTGTTGTCGCCAGATGCCCTGGAGTGAAGCGAAAACTTCAAAAATACCTAAATTTATCCGTTCCTTCCTTTCCACACTAGCTTCTTACATATTTTCGGACCTCTGCTGTCAGTACAGGGTGTCTGAAAAATAATTCTGAAAAAAAATTGGCCGAATTCAGGTATATTTGACGTTTCTGATGCGATTTTTTTATTCCTTACGGAGGGTATGATCTTACTTTGCACAAATTCTCGAACCTCGCACAACCCGACGATTCTTTGATACAGCTGGTCAGTCTTACTACGGATGCTATCTTACCGTGCACCACATGCTCATTACTCACTTAGCATTAACTAATCAGTGCAACATGCTTTTCTCATTCTACTCTTTCACTACAACTTTTCTACTTTTTTACTTTTTTTTCTAAATGAGTATTTTCTTCTTTAGTGACCCCCCTCCTTTTTGTCTTCAAATGATTTCGTAGTTCGTTTGAATTTCGAATTTTTTCTCTCTGTCGGAATCGTAAAACGCTTGCTGACTTATCATGTTTTGGATTTGAGTGGCTTTGTTGTTTTTTGTTTTTTTTCGTATGTTTTCGCAGTCCGTTCAAATGCAGAGAGGGTGGATCTTGTGCTACAGTATGGTGCAACGGATGGAAATATTCACGACACAGTGCGCAGGTTTAATGCTTTACCGACAAAGGAAACCCCGGTTTCATGTAATTGTGTTCGCACATTGATATCAAAATTTAGAACAACTTTCTGTGTCAAAGATGCCCCACGATCAGGCTGTGCAAAAGCAATGAATGAGGATCTAGTGTTAACTATTTTGGCTGATTTCGTCGAAAATCCGCGACAGACGATTAACGTCGGGCTAATCGACATGGAGCCTCTTATGGGGGAACACAGCATTTATTAAAACATCATAAATTTCACCCTTACAAAAAATAATATAAAAATAATATAATATTTAAAAAAATTGATCTAAAATTAATCCTCGAATTAACGAGGATAACTTTGACAGGCGCCTCGAATTTTGTGAAACAATGGAGGGAATTATTGCGGCAGATTCGGATTTTGTAAAGAACACGTGTTTTAGTGATGAGTCATCTTTCTTTTTAAAAGGAACCGTGAATAAACACAACTGTCGGTATTAGGCAACAGAGAATCCCCACGTGGGTAGAGAGAGTCACACACAGTTTCCCCAAAAACTGAATGTTTTGTGTGGGATCTTTGGGGACCATATCGTTGGTCCATTTTTTATTGATGGCAATCTTGATAATTCACTTTACCTTAGTATGCTCGAGGAGGCCGTCCTCCTAAAATTAATTGAAATTATTGAAGATTCGGGGTATGATTTTGATCCTTGGTTTCAACAGGATGGTGCCCCTCCCCATTTTTCCTTACAAGTCAGAAATTATCTTAACCAAGAATTCCCTCATCGGTGGATCTGTCGGCGCGGAGCCATTGAATGGCCGGCTAGATCTTCTGATCATACTCCCTGTGACTTTTTCCTTTGGGGTCATGGCAAGACAAAAGTATACGAGACCTCGCAGACCTAAGACAGTGAATTGTTGAGGAATGTGCAAAACTTACTTATCAGATTTTAGAAAGCGTCCGAGAAGAATTCGTAAATCGCTTATATTATTGTCAGGAGAAGAATAGCAGGCAATTCGAACAGGAATTGAGATAACTTGTTTATTCGCTGCCTGAGTCATATAATTGAGAAGCCTTTTTTTCTTTCTTTTTTTTTTCCCCATCGAATATCGTTAAGAAGTTTTTATTTATACTGTTAAATTTAATAGGAAGACTCATTTTATTTAATTATTCTTTCGAAAGATAAATCCATTAAGTTTAGTGGTAAAATTCCTGACTCACCTCCACAGGATTCGGGGGTATTACAGTTTTTGGCAAGCGCCTTCCGTCAAGGGGTACTTTGTTACTATTGTTGTTAATCTTTTTCCTTTTTTTGAGAAGCGTGAGTAATTTCATTTCAAAGTATCCTCGATGAAAGTTCATTTAATTTCTTTCGAAAAGAAATTCTGGTAATTGTGCGAAGAACAAACGGTGCATGGCCAGTATCATCAAAAATAAACAGCCTTAGCCTAATGAGTGAGATTTTTTTTAGGGTAAATGGGCGTGAGCTCACGTCAACCTTTATTAAAGTCATTAACATGCTTATTCTTAAGAGATTTGGCAGATTTGTTTCCATTATTTTTTTTTGGCAAGAGTGAGTAATTTCAATTAAAACTCTCCTTGATAACAGGTCCTTTCATTTATTTGCTTACTGAGACACCGCCAACGCTATTGAAATGTGCCTCAGTGGTCGGGCAGAAGGGGAGGCACGGGTGGGACTCGACGTGTAGCCACCTCCCCGTGAGGAGTCCTGGGTAGTTGAAATGACAAATTAGGAAACACGATTTTCAACTGGCTGAGAGCAACACACAGCACAGGAAATCTAACTTATTTTTCCGCCATTTTTCGGCCGCCATCTTGGAAAAGCTCGAGTATTTTGCAAATCCAATATTGGATTTGTTTTTCTCGTGCCCGAAAACCCATGGAAACCAAGTTTCAAGCGAATCCGTCGGTAAATAACCAAAAAAACGCATTTTCCGCCATTTTGTTTAAAATTGAGGCATCCAAAGTTTTTTTTTAAGCCTTTTCGAATGATGTATCACAAGATAAGAGTTCCTATTTGGAAAAAAAAGGGTTAGGGTCCGCCCCCCGAAATTTTGGGTGCGCCAAAAAGGAGTTTCCTTCGACCTAGCAACGTTCCCCAAATTTCGAATACCTAGCATTTTTTGTTTATAAGTTGTGAGGGGAGGCCCAGACCTTTGAATTTGCCGCCATTTTTTTGAAAGCTGAGGTATCGGCAGTCGGTTTGCGCCAAAAATTTTCTCTTTTCAAGCCCTTTCGAATGACAAGATAGGGGTTCCCATTTAAAAAAAAAGTTAGGGTCCGCTCCTCGGGGTTAGGGTCGGGAAATGTTGGGTACGCCAAAAAGTAGTTTCCTTTGACCTACGAACATTCCCCCTTCAAATCTCTAGCATTTTTTGTTCATAAGTTATAAGGGGGGTCCCGGACTTTTGGATAACCCTGTATGGAGTAGGCAGCGCACAACAGCCGATTGAATATGGCTCTTAAAATCCTCCAAAACGAAAATGGCCGTCAAAATGATTCAAAACCTCCCATCACTGAAAAAAAAGAGAAATACGAAAAAACCGACCGAAAGTTCTTATTTTCTACAGTTCTTTACGAATCCGAAATCAAAACATACCCTAATAATTCGAAATAAGCGAAAAACGGGGAATACCCCCCCTTCCTATCCTCCCCCCACCCAAAATCCAGTTTGGGGGGTGGAAAATATTTTGACCTGCAATATCACCCTCATGGGACAGAGGGGCATAGTTTCAGAATAATTTTAGTTTTTCAAAATCCATAGATTAGGTAGCGCACAGCAGCAGATTGAAAATGTGCTCTCAGAATCCCTCAATCCCTCCCCCCCCCCTCCCCAACTCAAAATAAAGGGAATTATGAAAAAATTGACGGTGACCTAAAGTTCTTGTTTTTTACTGTTCTTCACATATCCGAAGTCAAAGCACATCCTTATAATTTGAAACAAGCGAGAAACAGGGGGATAACTCCTCTTCCCCTCCTTCCTATAACCTTCCCTCCAAAATCCATTTTTGGGGGGCTGGAAATATTTGCATTCAATATTTTGTGATTGATTTACTTCATTTAAGTTTTTGTCTAGAGGCGCAATTTTTGGCTGTTCCCAAGAAAAATAAAGTGGATGTCTGGTCTGAAACATCCAGTGTGCCCTGATCGATGAATCTTTTGTTTTTCTTCATACAATGTAATTTTCTAGCTAGTTTGTATACCTCGATTCTCGTTATTTTCACTTCATCACTTCTAGTCACTTCACCTCTTAAATGTCTTAATGGCTGTGGGGAAAAATTAAAATTATACTCATAAGAAACTTTACGTGGAACAAACTAAAGCTCTAATAATTTCTTTCCACAAAAAAGAATATTCATAATAACATTTCTTAATTGACCTTTTTCAAAGCAAAAGACATAGAATTCCAAAATTCCTGTTCTTTCTGATAATTTCCATCACCCAATGTCACTTTGTTTCTTAAAACCTTAATAAATTTAATTTATGTAGATAGACACAAGGCATATAGTTCTTGTAGTACTTAGTTTCAATATTTTTAAATAAAATCTGTTTTTTAAAAAAAAATTAATAATCCTAAGGAATACTAATAATAATTTTTGTCCCAGGAGGGAATGATTCATTTTGTGCAAGTTTTGTCATAGGTTCCATGTATTAATCACCTCCTCTTATCATAATTTCTAACCTTGCACGTTCAAATATTGGCAGTTCATTGACTCCTGCCAAATACTCATTTTCCTCCGAATTATTAAACATACTGGTTACTGTTTTTGCCCTGGTCACTGTACTACGTATAGGTCCAAAAATCGTCTGCTTTGTATTCATGGTTCTATTAGTGTTGAGATGCTCACCTTTTTGTTTAGAATCCTCAGCCAGTTTAATGTTACGATCACCTACAACCGTGAATTTTTGTTGCACATCTAATGGCCTAAATACCTCTCCTACCCTATTCTCCATTAGATCATTTGTTCGCATACATGATTTATACATTATTTCTATTGCCCGGAACTTCAGTCGCCATAATTCTGCATTGTTTGTCCATACTCATCTCTTATATGGCTTTACATGTCTAAGTAAAATAAAGTATTTTCTGACCTGCACTAGTTTGTATATCATGAATTCAATAAATAAGTATTTTAATTTGCTTGTTCATTCTTTCAGAGAGATAACACAGTTCGTGCCTTTAGGGAAGGAAAAATTTGGATCCTTATCTGTACAGAATTGATGGGGCGTGGTATAGACTTTAAAGGTGTTAATACTGTCATCAATTATGACTTTCCTCTTTCTGCTGTATCATACATCCATCGAATAGGTGATTTTCCATTCCCTCTCAGTGTTCTTATCAACATTTCTCCAGTATCTTACTTACGGGTCTTTCCTTTTTACTATTTGATTTAAGTGGTTTTCACTATTAAATTGTGCTTACTACAGCAACTTATTCGAGAATGTGCTTTAAAAGGAGTTAGAACAAGGTGATGAATTCTGAAGAAGTCGGGGAGAAACTGAAAACAGTATATTATTCTCAACCATGAAAGCTGCAAAGGAATTGTAAAATACTGCAACAATTTTGAAAAATCGAAGACATATTATATCAAAAAGAGTCTTTTTTAAGTTTTTCTTTGTGCATCATGAGATTATATTTTATTCATATTTTTTTTTATTTTTTTTATTTTTCTGTCTTAGAAGAAGCCTTATTCTGAAAAGAGGTTTTTGCTCAGCACATCAGTATTTTATGAACCATAATATTTGTTTTTTTTTTTTTTTTTTTTTTTTTTTTTTTTGCTAGGTCGTACTGGAAGAGCTGGTAGAACAGGAAGAGCTGTAACTTTTTTCACAACTGAAGATACTCCCCATTTAAGAAGGTAAGCTCTTTACTTAATTGGTTACTTGACAAGGTCAGAAACCAAGAATGTACTACTAGACAAGGTAGGAGTTTAAGAATTCTGATACTCGCCTCTGCTTCAAAATTCCATTTAGGAAACGATTTGCTCAATGAGAGTCACTGAAATTATGCAACTCCCAACCAAGAAATTAACATTTTCATGTAACATTAATTAGAAACAATTTAAAGGACCCCGCACACCTCTTATGGGAAGCTGCACCATGAAGGATTGCCTTCTGACTTATGTCATTCGATTCTCCTCAAGATGCTGATCAAAAGTTGTAATTGCGCCAACTTTCCACTATGCACCGTTTTCGCAAAAAACCTATGAGAAGATTCAATTGTTCAGCGACTATGAATAAAAAAGAACGAAGCATTTGAAAACAGGCCCGATGTGAATAAGGAAAAAATGTAGCGTGTGTCCGTCTTCTTATCTGTACCTGCCGACTCAGGGGCTATCTCCCTCCCGCACTCGCCCGGTAGACGTTCAGACTTTCCTGTTCTTATGCTCCTCAAGAATCTGATTTGGATGGTGGTCGAGCAAAACGGCGTGCGGAATCCGAGATAAGACTGCCGCTCGGTGCGGGAGTCCCCATGATTTCCTTGTTGACACACAGCCGCTTGTCAATCGGGCACTGAAATGAGGAATCTCTCTGGCTTTTTATCACCGAATAATTGAATCTTCTCATAGGTTTTTTGCGAAAACGGTGCATCGTAGAAAGTTGGAGCAATTATAACTTTAGATCAGCATCTTGAGGAGAATCGAATGACATAAGTCAGAAGGCAATCCTTCATGGTGAAGCTTCCCATGAGAGGTGTGCGGGGTTCTTTCCTGCTCACATGAAAAACCAGAGTTTTGTTTGAATCAAAGCAGCCTGGTGGTTTTTGCAGGCATCTCAAAATCAATCGAGCAGTGTTCCTTCCCTATTATGTGTTGATTTAAGCGTGAAAAACGTGCATTAGCTGAGTCAGCGATCAGTGAAAACTAGGGGGCTACGCCCCCTGGCCGCTACGCGGCCCAACCCCCCGAAGGCGCTCCGCGCCATCAATGGGCCGCTTCGCGGCCCTATTTTTACCCTCCTATTAGTATTAGTTTTATTTTTCCCCTAAAAAAATTCGATATGAGGTATACTTAATAGAATGAAATAATTTTTGGTTTTGGTGAATAAAGAAAAAAAAATTTTTTGAAGTCAAAAGGACGCGTTTTGGAATGACTGCTTGATGAAATATTACAGTAAAACAACGAACAGTTTAAGTCAGGTAATTATTAAGTATCTCTGGGGTCGGGGATCGAACCCACACTTTGATCAATGTGGACACTTCCGACGTCGTAGACGACTCGGCCACCGCTCATCTTGAGGTGATCGGCGGAAATCTTGTGTAGATAAGTGTAGAGCTGATACGCAGGCTACACACCTACTTACCACTCCTCGACCACTGCGCATCCTCCCGCGCATAGCGGTAGCAGTCCCGGAGCACTCTGTAAATTCACTCACTTTTATAACGTGATTTTAAAAAAACCTGGGTCTTTTTTCCAAAATCTGATTAGAGCGGGCTCATCTAGAGCCTATTACCTGTCGATTTACGCAAAAATCATGGAAATCGGCCCAGTAGAATGCTCAAACGAACTATGACAAAACACATAAATTTACATTGTTTATATTGGAGAATTCGCAACTTTACGACGTAATATAAAAAAACCTGGGCCATATTTTGAAAATCTGAAAAGAGTTGGCTTATCTAGAGACAATTGCCCGTCGATAGCCGCAAAAATCATGAAAATCGGCCCGGTAGAACGCTGGAACTAAGCGTCACCAGTTTCGCAAAATTAGGAGGTCTCGGAGCTTATAGTATAGATGTCCAGTCTAATATGTCCAACTATAAAAATGTCCAATAAATAATACCCGCTGTCATAATGTCCTCTTTTTAATGTCCATGACATAAAATTTCCCCTGAACAAAACTACCCATGTTGTCTAATGTCCAAAGTACTAAAATGGCCTGTAACTGCAAATGTCTAAATCCAGGTGTTGTAATGTCCAAAGTTATAAAATGGCATTTAACTGCAAATGTCCACAGTATTTCAAAAGACTGAATCAGAAGAAGCAAATATTAACATCTATTAGAGTAATGTAATTAACCTGTTACATCTGAAAACAGTGGTCTGTGTATCCACTCAAATATCAGCTGAGAATAATGTCATATTTTTCCTTTCCCTCCAAATTCTTTCAAATGATTTCGGAATTCAGCCCCAACTAAATTTAAGTTTTTTTCTTCCACTCAAATTTTTTCTTCCAAGTGGTTTCTAAATTCAGTCCCAAATCAAAGTGAAATTCGTCTTTTTCAAAATTCGAAAAAGTCAGAAAAAATTGTGTCAATGATGGAGGTAAAGTTGTTTTCTTTGGGCATTTTCAGTCACATGCCATTTTAGCGCTTTGGACATTAGATAACATGGTATTTTTGTTAAGTGGACATTTAAAAGGGAACATTACAACAGTAGATATTTTTTATTGGACATTTTCATAGTTGGACATCTTAGACTGGACATTTTCACCTGTCACCGCTACGTCGAAGCGCCGATACTGAGGTTGCCTTTGTCATACTGAGGAGATTGTCACTGTAATGTTTTGTGTGCGATTTAACTCTAGTAGATTATTGTTTTTTCTATTAGCAGCAAATTTGAATTCATGCATTGAAAACCTTTAATATTTTGGTTCAAAGATACCTTCAGTTATTTTATTTTCATTGTACAAGTCGTGTTTAACGTGAAGTTCTGATGAAAAAACATAAATTATAATAGTTGAATTTGCATCTTGCCTCTTGGTCCATTGCAAAAAATGTTCTCTCATCAAAATTTCATATTTAACTTGACAGAAATCTTGAAAATTTCCAATTTTTGCACATGTGTGAAAAAGTAGGATTTTTAGTTTTTGCATTTCTTATTCTCTGTTTGCCAAGATTTTAAGTGCTCTTGAAATTAAAGTGAGCACTGAATAATTTTCTTTATGCTGGATGATTAAGTGATTTTGTGATTATGCTCACAAGATATTAATTACTGCTTTTGAAGGAGGAAGAAAATTCATGCGTTATGACCAACTTTCAAGATGTCTACCAGGTTACCACCCTCTTGTTTTCCTTCTTGCCTAGTTAAAACGTACTTTTAACGTTTTGATAGTTGATATGTGGCATTGTCCCTTTTCCATAACTGTAGTTGGCCGCCATTGTGACGCCATTCGGTGAGCGTGTGCCACAGTCCCACCGTCGTCTGTCTCCTCACTCTGCTTTTTCTGTCTTAATAAAATATCTTATATTTTATTCCGTCTCGTCTCTCGCTCCCTCACTCACTGCCCTCCGCAACATTTGAAACTCTTAGGCCACTATGAAGTTTTTAACTGAGAACTTTTTTCTTAAAATCATTGAAACATCATGGAACATTTTGATACATCAAGCTCTATGATTCAAACCATAACCCTTGTCTCATTCTGTATTTTAGTTTTTGACACAAACCTTCAGAAATGTAATAACTTATGTGAAAACTAATTGATCTGAACTCATTTTTTCAGCATTGCAACAGTCATGAAAGACTCAGGATGTGATGTTCCCGAGTATATGCTAAAATTGAAACGACCCAAAAAGACAGACCGGCAAAAGTTAGAATACATAGCACCTGAGAGAAAGAAAATATCAACTGTTCCTAGTTATGAAAAGTTCAAGCTGCACAAAGAAAAGTAATTTTTGCATTTTATTTTATATATTTTTAGCATTTTACTCAGTGTACTATTAATGTTAAGAGTTGAGCCAGCTTTGCTACAAGATTTGTATTGAGTGAAGCCTAGCAACCATGGGAGAAAGGGTTAAAGTATACATTTGGTTGCGTTGCTACTCTTTGTTAATAATGAGGTCTCAGTGAGAGGTATATCCTGGAAACTATCTAGTGATAGCCATCTGACAAGCTTAAATCAGAGTAAAATCGATCTTGGTGCAATTCTTATATTTTGACTTAGGTCTTTCATCATTTTACCTCGTTTAATGCCAACAATCGAAACTTAGTTTTTCTCTAATATTTCTACTTTGCTTGTCAGTGGTATTATTTTCGCCTTTTTCATCATACCCAGAGGCATTTTTCTATCGTTTTATAATTTTGCTGCATGCCATTGTACTCACCCGCCTCTAATAGATTCAGGTTTAGTTTGGCCCAGATATATTGTTCCGCTAAGAAAGGTTTGAATCACAATTTATCAGGGCTCTGAAATGGCACTTGAGAACTAAAAACACTGTTCAAAATTTTTAGAATGTTTCACCTCTTTTGACAGTCGTTTCTCAGGCATAGAACTTCCAATCAACTGTGGGATGAAGAGTGAGTGAATAGGTTTGTTGCTTATCGCAGATACCGGACGTCCCAGTAAAATCTCACGAAAATTAAGTTGGGCATGTCCAAAACATTCCAAGTCTACTCCTAAATGCGTTATTTGCACAGCCTGTGTTGTACTTTTCAAAATTTCCTGCATCGGCATTTGGGAGTTGCCAACTATCAGGTTCCTTCAGAAAGAGTGATGGGAAAAAACAACCAAAATATGTAGGATACTAATCATTCTCAGGCGTATATTTTCTCCTCATTTCTTTATGTTGCTGAAAGAAATGCTTTAAATCAATGGAAATTATGCGTAAGAAAGCTATGTAACAGTTCGCAAGATTGTTTGTTCATGTAGGTTACCTTTTCGCACATCTCTCTCCTGGCAAACTTGATCGCCAGCCACCGAGAATAAATGCTTCTGGGCCATGTTAATTTGAAAAGAACAACATGGATGGTGCTAATTGTGCTCTTAGGGAGTAGACATTACTGTCATGCTTTACAATATTTTTATGCCATTTAACTCATGCAAGTTAATCAGGGCTTTTGTATGCATTGTGTGACATACTTATTTTGACTGATGCATTACCGTCACATTCTGCAGCAATCAATTCCAAAAAATATTACGGAACTACTTCCTATTTCATGGAGATTTTCATCTGATACTTCTTTGTCCAAAAATGGTGCCTTTTTTATTAATATCCACTTTTCAAATATTTGCTGTGCTAAGGAGAAACGCTGTGAAAAGTAGAGATGCTGTTAAATTTCAACTAATAGAGCAAAAATTATCTGGAAAACTCATAACTATTTTTTTCAATTTTTTCTGAGAATAATCTCCACAGCACTCTACAATACTGGTAAGAATTTGAAACAAAGAAAAAATGCTTTTCACTTTCTTCAAAAATAAATATTTTATCGTAAGAAAATTGTCAATGGCCAAATGCTTATAGAGTATTTTTCTTTAGCACAAAAAACATCGACGTCTAAACTGCAAAAACTCGTATCTTTATTTTGTGTTATCACTCTGCTTCCATTTTATCTTTTAAAGGGAGACCCAACCAACATTACAGCTTGAAAATTTTACAGAATATTTCCCTTATAGAGAAGTTAAATCACCAAAGTTTTAATAAAATGACATTTGGTAGATTTCCATGTGTAATATAAAGTACGGCACAAGTCGTCAACATCGCAAACCGAGAAACGTATTCCTGTAGTCTCACCGTGGATATGTCCTGTTTTGCGAAAACTTACATGTCAAACTTCTGTTCCAGGGTGAAGAAAATCAACAGAAGATTGAGGAAGAAGGGGAAACGAGGAATCAGCATGATGCCGGAGAAGAAGGTCATCCATCAAAGTGGTTTGGCTAAAAAGTACTACTCCAAGCATTATAATATCAACACTAAAAAACACAAAAAATCTTGTAAGACTGAAGAAGAATCAATGCTTGCTGTTGAAGATTAGAAAATGTATTGAAAATTTTTAATTTCACCTGAACCTCTGAATTTATATTAGAAAGTCTCAGCAGGGTCCTACATTGATTTATCTTTTGATTTGACTCTTTAAGAAAATACAAATGTAAGGCCTGCGAAGTGTTCCTTATGCGATGTTATTCATTACAGAGACAGGTATTAAGTAATACATCGAATTGAAGCATATGGACTGTACAGACATCAGAGATAAATGAAGATTTTACTCTGACCTCTGGTGCCGGGTCAAACATTCACAGCTTCGTTACTTAACTCCTTAATCTACCTCTTCGTCGCCTGTACAGCGATGCTGCCGTCTCACCAAAGAGAGCAGTAATTCTCTTTTCGAAATCAAGTTTCTTTCAAAATTCGTTTAATGTAATCTGTATGAACTTACTGATTCAGCTAAATAAAGAATTCCTCTCATATTCATAAAAACTAGACCTATGAGAAAACTATAAGTGCAAAAGAATTGATGTTGTTTCAGACAGAACAGCAGTAAGGAGCATCATTCCGCCAGAGAGCTGTGGAATCTGCTTGCTTTTTTTCCAAAATGCAACCTTGAAAGCGTGCAGAAGATACCACTTACGACTGTTTTGCCTGACATGATAATGAAAAGGGCCCTTTTCATATAGTCGAAAATAAAATCTCATTTTAAATCATCCAATCGATTTTTGAGACTTTCAGAGGATCATAAAAAAAGGATTAGGTAATGAAAAGAATTGTATCTTTGACCATTATGCTGTGAATAATGGTGCGAATAATACGCAGCATAATGGTGAGAGACTCAATTCTTTTCATTACTTTTAATTTTATTTTTACTTTTATATTTGCTGCTTCTCCAAGCATGTTTAAATTTCAGATGATCGGTGGAAATTTTTCAAGAAGTGAGGCTTTTTTCATTAAAATTTTTTTTCTCAAAAGTGCTACCAAGCCCTTTCTTCAAAAACTTCATTTTTGCGCTTACTGCTCTCCATGTTAACAGCAGAATGTATGAGCTATTTGTTTAATAATGGGCCTGTTGCAAACTTTTGCTAGAGCAAAACTAAGAGTTGTTTCTTATAGATAATGCCTCAATAATCACGATGAGCGCATCGGCAAACTCTGAAATGCACTCATAACTTCACAATCTGCGTAAGAAATTTGCGGTTTTTTGAGCTTCCCGCTTCAAAAACGATACTACGGCACAGGTGAACATTTTGTAAGAGGAGTCGTTCCATCGTCGGCAATAATCATCATAGCCGACGCCAATCCGCCAAAACACGTTTGATGGGACGAGATAACACCTGAGCTGGATTAGACCAGATAACAATCGGTGTGTTAACGTTCATATTTTCCACGCCCGAATTGATTGACCTTGAACTCTCCTTGAATTACGCGCGGAACTGCGTGCAAGCGTCGGCCATGATGAATATCGCCGACGATGGAGCGACTCCTCTAAAAAAATGTTCACCTATGCCGTAGTATCGTTTTTGAAGCGGGGAGCTTAAAAAAACGCAAATTTCTTACGCAGATTGTGAAGTTTTGAGTGCATTTCAGACTTTGCCGATGCGCTCATCGTGATTTTTGAGGCATTATCTACAAGAAACAACTCTTATTTTTGCTCTAGCAAAAGTTTGCAACAGGCCCAAAACCTAGTCCATCAGCTTTGCAGGACAAACTGTTGAACTTTGTTCTCAAGCAGCTAGAAAAAGGTAAATTGAGTTTTTTTTTGGGCTTTTGAAAATCCCATGAGTAATATTGTGCGTTATTGTTGTATGGCTTGAGGAGTTTCTATTTATTTCCACAAGATGCTTACCTGTGAAGTAGGGCTGAAACTATCTAGTCCTGAACTTTTCTTGAAACTGTTCGTGGTTTGTTCTAAACGTTACTGGACTGATACCGTCCTGGCCTTAAAAATGGTCCAATCAAGCCCAACTGGAGCTCATTTGAAAGCTTATCCTCTCTCAAGCACAGTGGTTTTTAGTTTTTTGAAAAATATCTATTAGTTTTTGTACAATGCAGCAGCGTGTTTGACCTGCAAAGCGATGTTGTTACTCTTCTTTTCTGATGGACTGATCTAGCTGACACATTCAATCTTCTGAAATTTCTACAGTGGTGGTGCGAGAATCTTCTCTGACAAATGCACGAATTTTTTCCACACTTGCACCATTCACAAAGGTCGCAGGTCGGTCGTCCCGATTTTTCATCAACTTCCACTGCTGTCCTCCCTTTCAGGAAACGCGAATGCCACTCAAAACACTGACTCCGGTCCATCGCATATTGTGCACTTGCTTGATCAGGTGAAAAGCTTCCTCAGCAGATTTTTGCAGATGCACACAAAATTTTACTCAACTTTAGCATTATTGCGGAAATCACATTGACAAAGCAGAAACACACGTAACTGACTCGATCGCCGATGAAAATTGAAGTGAGGTCGGAAACTTGCATTATCAGGGGTTTAGAACACTACCAATCCGCTAAAGTTTAGTAGGTTATCTTGTGCAGATGGGCAACATATAAAATTGATTCTTTTCAGCTTCTTCATTGCATGCACTTGGCTCATCATCCACCTCACACTTAGGTATATGGATCTCGATGATTAGGTCCTCCAACATAAAATCGCCGAGCGGGTCAAACATGTTACTGTAGAATTGACGTTGTACAAAAACCAATAATTATTTCTCGGAAAACTAAAAACCACTGTATACATGAGAGTATAAGCTATTAAATGAGCTCCAGTTGAGCTTGATCGGACCATTTTTAAGGTCAGAGCGGCATCAGTCCTGTAACTCTTTGAGTACAAGACGTAAAGAATGTTTTCTACTTCTTACAAAAACCCTGATTGATCTGAGGTCATTACACAATTAGAGGGCTAATAAAGAAGGGCATTAAGAACACTTAAGTTAAAATACAATAAAAAAATATTTTAAAAATACATGTAAAATATTTTCAATACAAAGGAAAAGAAGTTTCAAAGATCGCAATTAGCAAATAGGAAGTACATACTGGAAAATATGATAAGCTAAAAAGTAAAAGAACAGAAGTGCAAGAGTAGATATTAAGTACAATTTAAATGCTTAGATCACTTTGGATTAAGTACACGAATGAATCATTGCTTAAATTATGCAACAGGAAGTAGAAAAAATATTTTGACCATTCTGCCACCAAAGCATTCCATATAGTAATAAAAGTACACCGGTTACGAGAGTAAATGAGCTCAGACAAAATTGAAAAACTAGAAGAAAAAAGCAAGGAAAATGAGCATTAAATTATGAGTAGGTGTAACAATATACTCTATTAGACATAATATCTTGATGACAACATTTATGACACTTCTGCCAAAAGACTGACCTTATCCTCTAAATTGGAATTTTTGTGGTTGCAACAATACATAGGTAATTACTTGAAAAAAAAAAAATATTTTTCTAGTTTCTATGCTATCAAATGATTTTTTGTTTATCGAGAGAATGAGTATAGGCAAGAGTCTAACCTCAAAACTTTATCTGCAATTTAGTTGATTGAAGTAATATCCCTCTCTTTCAAGAACTTAACAATAATGAAAGATGAAAGTTACAGAACTTGTTACCAGTTTTTAAGAGACGTCATTATATGAACTCCTAAGAAGCCCGCACAGAACAGGGGGCTCAGTGGCTACCGGTAGATTTAGATCAAATTTTAATCGATTGACATAAAGTTCATCATCAGCACAAAGCTAAAATATTGGTTCATTCTAACTAGCAGAAGCAGAGATATTCGCGATTGAACCTGGACTATTTTTTATCTTATCACAGCATGACGGAAGACTTATGAATTCCTTCTCTTCTGGTTGTTTGGCGTTTTCGATCAGACCTCACATACAAATAGGTGCTTATGCGCTCGGCCGGCGCAAAGACCGTATCGCCCTCCTTCTCCCCGCATCTGCCGATTCTGTTTCAGCAGCTCTCCAATCATTACAGAGGAGAGGTCCAAGAAATAGAGGACTCCATACTGCACTGCCCGAGCAGATACCTGGAAGAAAGAGAGGGTTTCCCGGCTGAAGTCTGAAGTGCTCAAGCATAAGGGAAGGCGACGAGTAGCGCCCATTTGTCTCCGCCGCACAAATAATGGCCCATCTCGGCTACTACTCGTTGGAATGAGCTAATTTTTTGGCTTTGTGCTTATAAACTCTAATTCAATCTACTAAAGTTTCATTGAAATCTACCGGGAGCCACTGAGACCCCTTTTCTGTGCGGGGGTCTTCTGGAAACCCTGTGTAAATTTCTGAGCTTTCTCAATACAATTTTTCATGACAGAAGCCATAGGTTCATAGCAGTTCAACCTTTTCCTCCTCATTAATTTCTTCAGACTTCAAATTTATCCAGTATCTCAGCAATGGAAGACAGCTGATCAGGGTGTCTAGTTATTCCTTCATTTTAGGAAATCCTGATTTGTCCTAATTTTTTATGGCTGAATCTTGATTTCATAATTTTTCTAAATCCTGATTTTTAGCCAAGAAAAATTAGGCGAATGTAACTTCACAAAAATAGCTTGATAAAAAAATCCGATCAGACGGCCGACTTATCTCAAATCCTGATTTTATAACTGATTTTTCTTCAAATCCTGACGCTAGACACCCTGTGAAACCAAAGTCTTAAAAGTTAGGGTAGGAAGAAACAACAGTTGAGAGCACACTGTCTCTCCTTAATCCTGATTAAAATGTAATGAGTTATTAAAATTATGTGGAACTGAAATGTCAGACATAAGCGTAAATGCTTTTGGAAAGGATGAGATTTTCAGAAGTCATGAAAGAAGTTTAATTTCTCGGTATCGTGCTGAAATTCAATACAGTTGCTTATAGAAGGAGTTTTAGAATCATCTTCCTTAGAACATCCTTTGCTTGAGTACTGCAGGTTCTTCAAGTAATATGTTCTTTTCCTCATGTAAGAAATTATTTTTGAGAGAGGAGCTTAAAGCATAGCATGCAATTTTTAGGAACTGGGAATAAAGAAGGGGGGGGGGCTTAGTTGTAAAAAGATTGCCAATGGTTTAGAGAAACATGTTGTCATACTACACCAACGACAATTTTCCAATGGAAAATGAAACTCTCAACAAGATATGAGTTGCCCTTCCATTTTCAAAAAATTACTCAGAATAAAGTGATAGATTTTGACTTTGTATTAAAACTGTTTCCATTGCAGATAAGAGCATAAGCCTACAGATGAATAACATTCTTAAGTTTTGCTTTGAGAGCCAATTAGGCACAATAGAAACAATTTTTTGATGCTACCTACTCAAGGTGAGACGCGAGTTCTCAATTCTAAAAATGCAGATTAAATCAAACTGTAGGGTATTTAAATCAAGACACGGAAAAAGGCAGAAATCTACAAATTTATAAATTCTAGAATCCGTCAATAATAATAACTAGCATGCTTTTGGGTTTCGGACTTTCACATCCTCACCTAACAACTTTCAAAATTAATGAGATATTCTGATGAACGAAAAAACGAAAGTTCAAAAGACAGAGGGCCATACAAGAGTTATCGGGAACCATATATATCAGGGCTTAAGATTTTGTTCAGACTAAGAAGTGAGGCGATAGGAGTATGTTTCAGAGAAACAAGAGCAGTTTTGCTATACCTGATTCATTGATATTTAAAACTTCAAGAAAAAATTGAGCTGCATAATTGGTAGCTTGTGTTTTTTTTTCCAGTCGATAAAGCTTAGCAGTTTAAATTTTGATTTATGAAAGTCCTTTTGAGAGGTTCCAACTTTCGAAATTAAATTTTGCAGTAAAAATAAGAGATACTGATGAAAAGAAGGGTAAATTCATGAGTTCTGGTAAGTGTTGGTTAACTTTAAAAGAACTTCAAATTCTCCGGATTCTAAAGTCAATTGCTCTTGTATTGATAACTTGCACAACTAAAAACCATTATTCTTATGTAAGTTTTTCCTTCTTCTTTTCCAATCGATTTTTACAGGCAGTGCTCGTTTTTTCTGACTCTTTGATCAAACTGGAGTCTGACATTAATGTGATGGAGTTCATAATGTTGCAAAAAAGTCTTGGTTTTGACTTGAATAATTGTGGGGATAAAAAGGATTCCTATTTACAAGTAAAAAGATCTACACAGCAGAATAATAACAACATTAAAAACAATACTAAGGATACAGATACATCACATGAGGACAGAGGTACATTTTGCCCTTCGCCCTGAAGTATTTTTGGAAGTTCACTTTGCTCTCCACAGCAATCCCCATTGCAATTTTTTTCTCTTTTTCTTCTAAGAAAAAAAAACTACAATAGACTACGAAAGTAATTTGGATAGCACCTTCAGCCACGACTAAAAGAAGAGAACGAACTGTTAAGTTATTTGAGTCCGGCGAATTTTGAAATTATTACCCCTAAACAATGATGTTCCCTCACACCAAATTTTTCAAGCGTAGTCCTAACAAGTAAAACCACGGATGAGTTCTACAGGTTTCTGGACCTCTGTAACAACCAATGTTAAAATCTATTAGCAGTTGCTTGTGCTGCAACCTTGCATAGGATCCTAGCAACTAACTACTACTATCATGTGTCGAACTTCACAAAAATTCTGCAAGTTCGTAAATATCTGCCATTATTCAGTTGTTTCCCTCCTGAAGAGATTTAACCAAGTCCTTATACGGGGTGATCCAGACCACCTGTCCACTATCTATATCCGGAGAATATATATCCTTTATCCTACATACCACTTAGATTCCATCACTTCAGCCGCCTTACAGGTTGTTTTTCAACAAACGGCTTAACCTAACTCTTGGAGCGGGCGATGAATGGGTTGAGGTTCTGGGGAAAGGATCAACAAACCAAACGTCAAGAATGATCGCCAGATAAAGCACCTGCGTAACTTGGGCCGGTTTTTGGAGGCCGGAAGGGAGTGAGAGCCTAAGTATACCAAACCTCACTCTCCATTTCCGCCGCGTCTTGTCCATGAGGATTACTCGTGAAAATGTCCACATTTGTAAATTTAAATTGTTTTGAGGTGTACCTGCAAAATTCCTATTTTTTGAGTAAAGAAGACCTTGTGAGATGCTATTATGATGACATTTTTTCATTGCTACCACTTTACTCGACAACGTTCAGCAAAATGTTGGCAGTGTTTAACATGGGTTTAGATGGCAGCTTGCAGTGTGAGCCCAAGTGAACCCAACCTAAATCTTTAAAGTGTTAGGCAATGCTTGCACTAGTCAGCCATTCTAGACGTTTGTTCGTTGGAAAGGATCCTCTAAGTTTACAAGAATCTAACGCGAGGTTGCGCTATGATCGGCTGGTCACAGCAGTACCGTGTCCTTTGGAACTCGACCCTGGTACAACACATGGAGGATTCCTTGCTTAATAAGAATTGCTTGCTTATGAGCAACTCCAGGGTTCTTACATCAAAATGTTTGATAAACATGAAAGTGATTTTAATGAGTCATGGGGTATCGTTTCAGTTTGATTATCTTCTTGAATATTATGTATTGAAAGATATTAAACAACTTTTAGATGGTCTAATGACCCTACCTTTTCACTGAACAATTAACACAGACTAGATAGCTGACTCTTGAAAGCCTCATTAATGACTATAATCTTCAGGTCAAAACATTTTTAAGGTGTAATCAGATAGCTCGTCAAGCTGCCATAAGAATGCACCCATCTTAAGAGACGCAGCCAGCGTCTTCAAGCACTGTCTGAACGTGCCTTTATTGAACAGAGGGCTTTTGCTTGGCTACCCAACATTTAAGTAGCATGCAAAGGTTGCACTTAACTCTGGGGTATAATTCCAAAAACACTACTGGGCATACATTTTTGGGGTTCAACATTTGAGTGAATAAAAAAAAAGATAAACAGAAAAAACAGAAACATACATACACACAAACCTGCAGCTACTTTACACTGTACATTATAAAGATACTGGATCGTTGCCCACCCAAAGAAATTTTGAAATTTTAAATGTTCGCACTCAAGCTAATCTATATCATATCAAAATTCACGAAACACTGACAACAACGTAATTATCCAAGAACAGGAGGCTTGTCAAGAGGTCACTTAATACTGAAAACGCTAGTTCAAACTTAAGTTTCTGTACTAGTAAGCAGGCCTGCCGCATCCCACCTTGGGCCCTAGTACCACTAAGATCCAGGTCCCATGACTGCCACATGCCACAAATGAGACTAAAAACCTCCTTTTGGCACAAAATTAACTTAAACAGTTGGCTGATTATTGACATTGATAGATAAAGCCACAGACATAGGAGCGAAAAAGAGCGATCCTACTAAAGCGGGTGGTTGGAATGGACCCAATGGCAACCCAGGAGAGATCTGATAGTTAACCTTCATTTCCTCCTTATACATATATAGCGAGAATACAATAAAAACAGTGGGAAACAAAGCTAAAGATGTATGAAATCATTCGCAGGACGTTTCGGCTTGTGACTCAAGCCATTATCAACTGCCAAAATAAATACAAAATTAGAAATAAAGGCTAAAAGCATAACGACATTAAAAACCGTGTGATTAGCCCCAACGAAAAACAGGACTGATCAAGATCAGATCAGTCCTATTTTCTGTTGGGGCTGATCACACGGTTTTTCATGTAGTTGTGCTTTTAGCCATATTTTTTAATTTTGTATTTATTTCAGAAGTTGATAATAGCTTGGGTCGCCAGACGAAACATCCTGCAAATGTTTTCATAAATTTTGGTCTTGTTACCCATTGTTTTAATTGCGTTTTGCTATTGTATTTCGGGCAACCATAACTTTTCTTTCTCGTGTGTTTATATATCTACTATACAGGGTGTCCGGAAGTTAACGTATTTAACTTTCAGGATCGCTATTTTGGCTCAAAATAAGACTTTTTTTTCCTATACACATATGCCCGAAAACGCTTCATACGTGAGCTATGCGCTTACAAAGTTGCCATTATTTTTCGTTCAAATTAACATAGCTCCTCTTCATTTTTTCATAGGTGGCTGAAACTTTGCATAGGGGGGTATTTTTTAGCGCTCTATTCATTTTTTGTGTTTTCAAGGACGTACGTCTTCGGAAAATGATGTCACAAGCTTTCCCGAATTTGAAAATTGCGATAACTTTTTTGGTAGATGATATTTCGAAAAACGGATTACGGCACGTAAAAGAGCGTAAAAAATCAAGGGGTCCAAGGACTGCACGAAGTTTTCCAGAAACGCGTTATTTCGACGCAACAGAACTTTGAAAAATTTTAAGATTTTCGAATCTCCTTGCTGTGTAGGCAATTTTTACTGCAAGGATTGAAAAATTGCCTACAGAGCAAGGGGCTTCGAAAACCTCGAAGCTATTGAGACGGCTCTTGACCTTTCCCTCACACTTTTTCCAGGCTTGGGACTGGCCCGAGCATCATCTTACTAAAATCGCGGTTAGGCGGCGATATTTTTGGTATCAAATATCCACCGAAAAATCATACTTGGAGGCTTATCGAAAACATGGTTTCAAATGGCGCTTCGAAAATCTTAAAATTTTTCAAAGTTCTTTTGCGTCGAAATAACGCGTTTCTGGAAAATTTTGTGCAGTACTTGGACCCCTTGATTTTTTACGCTCTTTCACGTGCCGTAATCTGTTTTTCGAAATATCATCTACCAAAAAAGTTATCGCAATTTTCAAATTCGGGAAAGCTTGTGACGTCATTTTTCGAAGACGTACGTCCTTGAAAACACAAAAAATGAATAGAGCGCTAAAAAATACCTCCCTCTGCAAAGTTTCAGCCACCTATGAAAAAATGACGAGGAGCTATATTAATTTGAACGAAAAATAATGGAAACTTTGTAAGCGCATAGCTCACGTAAGAAGCGTTTTCGGGCATATGTGTATAGGAAAAAAAAAAGTCTTATTTTGAGCCGAAAAAGCGATCCTGAAAGTTAAGTACGTTAACTTCCGGACACCCTGTGTAAACCTCGAGGACTCTCTAAAAAGATTAAACTGTGAGAGGGGAGGCGAGTGCCGATGCACTGCGGCCGCGCAGCCCCCTCCCAGTTGGTATCCATAGTGACTGGGCGGAGCCTCGCAGACTCACACTCGCGCAGTGAACATTCGAGAGGAGACCGAGTCACCTTATTTATTAGTCAATTTTAGCCTGTCCTGTCAGACGCTTCGCTCGCTCTCTCGCTTAGCGTTCTCGATTTCGTAGTTTTTAAGAGGGGTGAGGGATGCCTTACGGTGCCTTACGAGGGGGGAGGGGGTCTAAAAATGGGAAAAAAAGCCTTACATAATTTAAGAATGGCCCCTTATGACGAACTACTATCATAGAAGCCTACATATTTAGAATAGAATACTTTTTTTTCGTCAAGGCATGTTTTCTCTTCTTTAGTCAGCAAACAAATGTTTTTCATTCATCAAAGGCAGATGAAAACAACATTAAAAAAATAAATCAATTGAAAAAAAAAATTATTTAAAAAAACTAATGAAGTGACTAATCGATTCAATGACACCATTTCATGGAGGCTCGCGGAGCTGGCCTAAAAGTTTCCCACAAAGCAGGTGACCGGGGTGTAGCGAGAACCCCCTGCCTAGCTGTGAGGCCCAATCAGCTAATATATATATATAACAATCAATATATATATATACATAAAAGTTACAATCAATGTTAGTGTTGTTGAATTATTGAAAACTTTACAAAACGTGATTGTAGTAAATTGTGATATGCATTGAAACTCTGATGATGACCACCCGGTCGAAAAGCTTCAATGAACAAACAATAATTATACAACGCCTTGGTTCTTGAAATGACTCACACTATGAGTTTATGGACAATAATACAGGGGCTTTATGAATTGAATGAAATAAGTACGCTTGTTATGCCACTTTGTAAGATTCCATCAATAATGTTACTAGTCAGATATCCAAGTCGAGTCAGGCACTAATCTACTGATTAGTTTTTAGCTGTTCCTACACACGGCATTGGTTAATTGCCATGAATCTCAACTGATGCTAAAGAGAATAAAAACTGCTCATAATATTGAAAACTAATCAGAATTTTCCGACAAAGCTCAATTTCTTGTTGAGGTGGAACCTTAAATTTTTTAGACTTCGTAAAAAGAGTATTGTTTTTCCATTCCTTAGAGGGTATTATTAAAGTAGAATACATGAAAATACAAGTGTAATTAGGAACGTAATGATGATTGATTCAAATAAAGAAAAAATACTGATATGAATTCACAGGTACCTTCGGAATTCATTGAAATGATAAAAATATGTTGATTTAAATGAGAAAAACCTCATCCTTCATCAGAAGAAGGGCATCAATACTTACAATGACAAAACTGTTAATATAAAATAAAGGTGGAATGCCTGCATGAGAATAGCAAGAAAAAGAAAAAAAACCTTCAACGAAAAAAGAAAACCTATTTTTTCATGATAAAGAGGCTCTATAAAATAGGAGGTGAGTTTACTCATCGCTCTTTTAAGATAAGAACTTTTTTTCAGACGTTGGGACCAGAATTTAAGTACTACATTTCATCTACTGCCTTTAACTTCTACAACAGAAAATAATTACTGACTTCTGATGTCCAATCAAACCTTTTCTCGACTGAAATCTTCAAATCTTAGTATGTAAGGAGTTTTAAAGGTTGTTAAAATATTTTGAACCAATTGATGCTATAACTTCAGCTACTAACAGGTGAACAGAAGTTTCCCCAAGTCTTGATTGGTCTGATAACTTCTTCATAGCAATTACATACATCATAGATATAAATGCTGAAAAACATTGATTCTCAAGAATTCCATTACATACCAGGCTGAGAATCATCTATGACTGAAGTGCGATGAATGTACACAAAGGCAACTTCAACTTATCATTAAACGATGCTCAACTTTTTTGATCATCTTTTACGTTGAGATTACGAGGAGAGATGGTTCATCAGACCTGAAAAATAATGAAAGGGGCTATGAAATGAATTTCTATAGTAAATTGCAAGTTGCTGCAAGAGACGCCGGGAAAATGGGTTCCTTCCGGTGTATTTTTTTGGGGGGGGGGGGGGGGAGGACAATATTTTTTGCTTCAACTATTTTTTCTCCAAGGGGCGAGGGAAATTATGAGGTCACATTAATGTCTCCACGTTGCCAGACTATATATATAGGAGACACCGACTTTCTTTGAAGTGGTAGTGCACAAAGCTATCATCGCACGCTCTACAACAAGTCTGTTGCTAAGCACAGCGGTTTGCTGCTCACTGCTGTTACCCGGCAACAGGGACGAGTTTGATAGGACCCTGGATTCCCGTATGAGCCAATGTTAAAATCCATGAGCAATTGCTAGTGCTGCAACCTTGCGTAAGATCTTGGCAACTAACTGCTATTATCAGATGTCTCACTTCACAAAAAATTCGTAAGATTACAAATATCAGCCTTTAATCGTTTTTTATTCCTGATGATGTTGAGCAGACCCCTCCTTTGTAAACAGCGGTCAGAAATTGTATGAAGGGTACTTGTTTCCCATTAATTCAGCCGCTTTAAGAGTTATTTTTCATTTATCAGCTTAACCTTACTTCAGGAGCAGGCAATGGATGGGTTGTAGTTCNGGGGGGGGGGGGGGAGGGGATCCTCTAAGTTTACGAGGACCTGACGCGAGGTTGCACTGAAATCGGCTGGTCACACCAGTACAGTATCCTATAGAACTCATCACTGCCAAAAACCTATCACACCTAAACAAACAACTCTTCAGATTTTTTCAGCCTAAACAAGTAACAAGAAAGAAACAAGCATCCGCTTAGGACCTCAAAAATCCTAGTTTTCGGCATCAGATTACTGGAAAAATTTTTGGGATAAGAAAAATAAATACAATAAAATCATACATATTTAGTTGATTAAATACAAAAAAAGCGTAAAAGGTAGTGTTTCATAGTGCCGCTGGAGACCCCTGAAACACTTGTTTCATTCTTGTAGCTGACAGGAACAACACTTTAGGATACAGGGTGACTATGATGGGCAGATTGTTGCGGTTAGCAGCACATCTATTGTACCGCTTTTTGTACCACCCATTTCAAGAAAGTTGCAGTCTCCTATTTGTAAAGTCTGGCACCATGGAGACAGTAGTTTGAATTTATTATTTCTCTCACCGTTCTAAAAAATAATTGAGGCGAAAAGTATTGTCTCAAAAGAAAAATATTTTCTCAGAGGTACAAGTAATGTCGCTTTTTTTCCGAGACAGTACTCCATAATTGGAAGCATTGCAATAGTGTGGCAATAAAGGTTGTTTCAAAAGTAAGCGCCTTTTTATCAAAGCTTCAAAGTTACTGCATAAAATCAGCATTTGTAAATTGTTTTAAAATGGTTCCTAGCAGTCAAACCGCCTTAGACGCAGGAGCAATGGTTGCAGATGCATTCCATTGATCTCATTCTGGAGAGACATGTGCTTCCATCACAATAAATTTAATTTCCACAAAAAGTTAATGCACTTCTCTACGTCCGAAACGCCTTCACAGAGAAACTGAAAAAAGTCTTTAACTTGGGACACTTGTTTACGAATCTTCCATTAGAGCACCTGCTATTTCCAGGTATTTTTTTTTCCATGAGATCAATACTTATTTTTGAAACTAAAGGATTTTTACTTGGATTTTTATGAAATTTCATGCTATGAAAACATTCTCATTCTCTTCATGAGAGAACATGGCAAACTATGCATTAACCGCAATGTGTCCCTATACAGCTTGATGTGTACCTGAAAAATCCCTCTCGATGCTCAAATACTTCTGATGGATTTGATACCATTTATTACTTTCTTTCTCCTTATATTCAATCTTGGTCCCATGAAATTGCTACACTTGCTTGATCACCTGATTTCATTTCATGCAAGCACTTGATTTTCCTGCTACATATGTGTTTTTTCAATGAGACTGATTTTCTCCCTTGTATCCAGATCATTAGGTCTTTCTTTAAAATGCATGAAGTCTTTCAGAAATCCCTGTTTGAAAGGGCTGGGCGCAGGAAAAATTCAACTCTTACCAATGCATTTAGCAGATTTTCCTATTAATGTACACACTCTCTTTGCATTTAATATGATATCATCATTCCATGCGATCAATATTTAAACTCTCTGTGGGGTCATCAAAGTAAAATTATAAGAGTAATCGTTGAATCCTTTAAGACCTACACAGTTTAGGGGTTTTATTATGAGGATGGATTTTAAGTAAGGTTATCGATTTAATATCTCTATCACTATTGATATTAGAAAAAAAAAACCAGACCAGCTTGAGAACGAACATATCCTCAGCTTTCTAACAAGCTATAAATTTTAAAATTTTGGTACACGTTGTGTAAAGTAATGACAGATTTTCCATACTCACCTCATGTCCAATGTGCCCACTTTTACCATGCTGTAGGGTTTAAGAGAAAACGTGAGTGTAAGTCCGTGAAGAAGGAAAAGCAATTTATTCTTTTAGCGCAAAAATTGTGAAACCAATTAAAGACTTTTTACCTTGCTCCTCGCCGTAGTCACCTGCCCATCCTTGCATTTTTGAAAACGGTGCAGCGACCTGTTCAACCCGGTCTTTAAAATCTCCTTCCTAGCTTTCCCGCACTCTGTTGTTGACACAAATAGTAACTTCTGGTGTCCGTGTGATTTTCATCTTTTTCTGGAGTTAAAATAGTATCTTGGTGGCAAGCGGTTTAGCAGTAACGCAGAAGTTAAGGAAAAATTGAATTTCCTTCTTCAGGGACTTGCTTTTGTGTTTTCCCTTAGTCACTACAGCATGATAAAAGTGGACAAATTTGGACATTTGGCAGATGGGTATGGAAAATCTGTCATTACTTCCCACGACTTGTACCAAATTTTAAAACCAATAGCTTGCTAGAAAGCTGAGGATATGGTCATTCTAAAGCCAGTCTGGTTTTCTTTCTAACATCAATAGTTTTAGAGATACTAAATTGGTAAAATTACTGAAAAATCCACCCACGTGGTTACCATAGCTTAATGTGACTTACATATTCTTGTAAAGAACTACCTCCCCTCAGGAAAAAGAGAATCATACGATGGGGGTAAGTCTTTGTCATCAGCAATTGGTGGAGCAGTTGCAGCTTGTTGAGCTCTAACGTCTCCCATTTCAACAGGACTAGAGACTATGATGGGTTGAGGGGGTGGTTCAAAGCAAAATGCTCCACAGTGTCGACACAACCATAGACAGGAAATGAACACAAGGAAAACGGAAAAGACACTTGCAATAGCATTCATGGAGAGCCGTACTCCTATTCCTGTGGCAAATTTGGTTATTCCTGAAAATGAATGCTGCCGTGAGTAAAAAGAAGCAAATAAAAAACAGGTGGAGAGTTACAAAGCAAAAGCGTGGGTTCAAAGCACTTCTTAGGGAAGAGACAGAGGTGTCGACATTACGTCATGGCCATCAGTGCTCATGATCATTTGAAGGACGAAAAACTCATTTGAGCGAAATTTTCCTCGTTAAGAGTAACACTGTTTGGAGTGATACTCATTACGATCAATCAGGGAGAGGACTGCAAATGTGTTTCGAGCCTTGTGGGAATTTGGAAGTGTGGACCCATCATCAGTACAGCCCAGTCTCCTATCTAGTCCAGTCAACGAAGGAAAAATAAAGGCTTTTAGTGGAACAAACTGGAAAAATTGAATTTTTGACCATCAACTACAGGGTGTTTCAGACCACCCGTACCAGGCCTTTCTCTCGGTTGGTTTAGGTCGTACGAAGTCGGAGACCGCGGGGTTGAATAGGGAATTGACCCCAAGGAATCCGAATTTTGTGGTCCCGAAACCCCCCCCCCTTGGGGGGTAAAGGGGGGGTCACGATGCTTAAAGTCACGGTTCCCGACCGAATTGCGGTTCGATCGCATTAGAATTGAAAAGCATGGAAAATTTCACTTGGAATTGACCCCTAAAAATCCAAAATCGGACCATCCAAGGCCCAAAAATGATCCCCTAAAGAGGGGGACAGTACCCCCCTCCATAATTTCTCTTTGGTCTCAAAATTGACGTAAATTCTCCAGAAAAAGACGGTTTCTCAGGTAATCGACCTCGAGAAATCCAAATCTCGTGGTCCTGAAGCTCCTCCAGCCCCCCTTGGGAGGTAAACGGGGGGGCCCAATTTTAAAAATCGGGGCTCCTTTCCGAATCGCAAATTGATTGCATCCAAATTGAGGAGCAGAACACATTTACAAAGAGTTTTAATTGACCCCCCTGAACGGCAGAAAGTAATCCCCTGAGGAATGGGGCCTCCCCCCCCCCCCCAAAAATTTCTCGGGATTCCTCTTTGGTCGCAAAATTGACTTCGATTCTCCAGAAAAAGACGGTCTCCCATGTAATCGACCCCAAGAAGCTCAGGGAACATGAAATTTAGAGTGCTCGGGGTCGATTACATGGGAAACTGTCTTTTTCTGGAGAATCGAAGTCAATTTTGCGACCAAAGAGGAATCCTGAGAAATTTTTGGCGGGGGCGAGGCCCCCTTCCTCAGGGGTTACTTTCTGCCGTTCAGGGGGGTCAATTAGAACTCTTAGGAGTCACTTAAGATGTAAATGTGCTCTGCTCCTCAATTTGGATGCAATCAATTTGCGATTCGGAAAGGAGCCCCGATTTTTAAAATTGGGCCCCCCCGTTTACCTCCCAAGGGGGGCTGGAGGAGCTTCGGGACCACGAGATTTGGATTTCTCGAGGTCGATTACCTGAGAAACCGTCTTTTTCTGGAGAATTTACGTCAATTTTGAGACCAAAGAGAAATTATGGAGGGGGGTACTGTCCCCCTCTTTAGGGGATCATTTTTGGGCCTTGGATGGTCCGATTTTGGATTTTTAGGGGTCAATTCCACGTGAAATTTTCCGTGCTTTTCAATTCTAATGCGATCGAACCGCAATTCGGTCGGGAACCTTGACTTTAAGCATCGTGACTCCCCCTTTACCCCCCAAGGGGGGGTGGGGGGGTTCCGGGACCACAAAATTCGGATTCCTTGGGGTCAATTCCCTATTCAACCCCGCGGTCTCCGACTTCGTACGACCTAAACCAACCGAGAAAAAGGCCTGGTACGGGTGGTCTGCAACACCCTGTATATACTTCAAAAAGAGTGTTTTCCAAAAATTCCTCACTTTTAGCCGCTCTGCTTACCCCCCCCCCCCAGCCTCGCTAAAGTGCAAAAATTACCCCTTTTTTTAAACCTCTATCTCATCACCTAATCGAGATAACCAATTGCGGTTAGTCTTTAAACACTCCTCATATGTTGCGGATTCTTAATATTTTTCAATTTTGAATCTTAGGACGACTTAAAATTGGGTAAATATACATTCGCCTCCGATTTGATTGATATACAACATTTCCTTCTCTGAAATCAAAATAGTTGTAACTTTTATTTTGGTGTTCCTGCAATGTTCCATGGAAGACATAGTGAGTGCTGGTATGTAAAGATTGTCTACTTGGAGGTGGGTTCTCCTTTGGTTCCAAAATTCAACCTAGAGCGGCCTTTTCCCAATTGTACTGGTGGGTAGTGATTATCTGCTTGGAGATGAGTTCTCCTTTGGTTCCACAATTTGCAACATTACAATCTCAACCTAGAGCGGCCTTTCCCCAAGTGTGAGAGCCTATTTTAGACAAAAGCTGCCGCTCCATTTTTATCGAGGGACTTCCTGGAGGTGGACCAAAAGTCCAGAAGACTATCACTTAAAATCAATACACTTCAAGCAAGGAATCCGGAGGTAAGATATGCAACTTACTAAAAAAATGCTAACGAACAATGGTTTTTGAAGGAGCCTCTGCTTGGGAGTAAAACTCTTTGTGCAGATATTTCAGCGGGTTCTGTTAAATAATTAGTGGGAAAAGGGAAAACTAATTATGAACTCACTTGTGCCGTTAAAATTAAGTACACAGGTGCCTTCATCTCTGCAGTCTATAAACGGGCAGTTCACAACACCATCAGTGACATATTTTTGACTGATACACATGTTTTCTCCACAGTTTTTGACAGCATTGTTATCATATCTACAAACTGAAACAAAACAGCAGCGCTTATACACTTACGAAAGAGGATTAAATTTATGAGGAAAGTAAAAATACCTGAACCTCCATTTGCAACCTTGTAGATTTACAGCACATACCTGCCGTGTTACCAATATGAGCAGTACCCCTTAAATTTTTTGGATTGAATTTCCTTTGGAATTTGTCTGATATAATTTGGATGAGCTCACCGATTCGGCTGATACAACAGAAATTGCCTTACTTGTATAAAAACAAGACCTACAAGAAAGCAGTTAGTGTACAAAAATTGAATTGGTTTCAAACGGCAGTGAGGGACATTATTCCGTCAGAGAGCTGAACCTTCTGAATAAAATGACATCCTTTTCTGCAAATTTCTGCCCTTGAAATTTGTATGTTGTGTGTCAGAAACGCGATGACGAAAGCATGAAGAAAATACCACTTACAGTGGTTTTGCCTGACATGAAGATAATAAAGGTCTCTTTCACATAGTTAAAAATGAAATTTGAAATTCGTTGATTTTTTACTCAGAAGCTACCAAGCCTACTTTTTTAAAACTTCACTTTTGTGCTTACTTGCACTTATCTTCCGTAATTCGCCACAATCGATTGATGTAAAGGTAAATTATAATTATTAATTTTTGCAACTTTTATGGATTTTTATGCACTATGAAAAAAAGCCTCTGATAATGTCATTAGTAAATGAAAACAAGACTCTTTTGAAAAGTTAAAATGAGACCTGAGGTGTCAAAACAAATTGATTGAGAAACTTGATATTCTAATTCCTTAATCAATAATCGATTCAGTATGATAAGGTTACTGTGAATGCTTATGTTTTGTAAGCAACTTTGTAAAACAATTTTGTAAATAACAATTGCGAAAAATTTAAGTCCCTTTGCTCTCACAGTGGCAATCATACTTTGGTAAAATTGCCCAAAATAAAACGACGACCCATTTTCAGTTGAATCTACCAAAAAACTAGGTGGACCTTGTCTCATGAGATTTAAGTACATTGTTCCACGATTATTAAAGTAGAATTATCTTTCAGTAATTAACGGCCGCGAAGCAGCAACAGGCCACTAGTCATTTATAAGCGATAATAAAAAAGACTAAGGTGAGGAAATAGTGCTGCGTCTACACCATTTCGCGGGGAAAACAAAGCCAAAAAGTTCCAAAAAATTCAATTGGAGTCAAAAAATGTTTGAGCTCTAATGAATACCAGTACAAGACTGAGAGTGGAGAGTGTTCAGCTTAGACAGCTAACGTTAATGAGGTCACACCGAGAGATCTATGAGATTTATTTTATAGATCTCTCAGCATGACCTCAACTGAATATTCCAGCGCAAGCTGCCTGAGCTAAACACTATCCCCCTCAGTCTTGTACTGGTACTCATTAGAGCTCAAAAATTGTTGACTCTAATTGAAATTTTCGGGACTTTTGGGCTTTTTCCCCCCACAAATTGGTGTGGACCCAGTACCATTCCACAACCTCGTCATTTATAAGTTTATGACTAAACGCTCACAAAACAGATTCTTTAGTTTTCTGAGCGGCAAAGATAATATCTTCCCTGTACTTTCCTTTTAATTTTTTAGGAATTATTTAGGTTGGAATGAATGCGGAAGGTACCTGAAGTAGCTAACTTTCACTAGAATTTTTCAAGAATGAAAACATTTCTTCCATGCTTTTGGCAACTTTAGGTTCGACTGGCCTCCCTGTCTCCTTATCAGTAACAAAAGTGTGCTTTCAAAAATCAATATAGCAAGGGTAATGATACCTTCCCTTTTTAGCAACTAAATCTATAATATTGGATAAACATTGCTTCAACTGCTTATCCACATTGCCATTCTGTCCATTCGCAACATTGTAAACACTATCTGTAAAGTCAAGACTCTCCACACTAACAACCCTGACCTTTCGATCCTTGCGGTTTTTTTAACTGCTTTGGCTCGGATTCCTCTCTTGCGTCCACACCACAGAACATGCAGTCTTCCTTAAAATTGAATACATGTTCAGAAAACCTTAGTTTTGTCCTAATCAGTGGGGCATATTGGGGCACATCATAATCAGGACAATTTTTCAAAGCAATTATAATCGCGTTGCGCTGCCTTTAATTTTAGCGACACATTAAGTACACCCGTATACTTTGTTCTGACGCATTTATGACCTCCCATTCAACCCATCTATCATTATCTATTTCGTGACTAGCTTTTATTGAAGTTATGAGGGCTTTATTCTTTGCCACAACGGAATCGTTTTTGGTACTTAGAGTTCCTTACCAAACAAAAACCGTTTTAATATCCTGTTCCAATTTTAACACTCAGGAAACATAACAAAAAAGATGTGGCCATGGTTCACCATGGACTGGAACATATTGAAACTGTGCTGGGACATTTTCAAGAAAATGCACTATACGAGGGGAGAGGAAAAGGCGAAAGATGTCGTAACATACTCCCAGATGAAACCTATCAATCTTTCATGTTGCAAAACATCGCAATCATAGACAAGTTGTGAGCTACATGGAATATATTAATTTTTGATCTGTTTATAGTATGTAAATCGACCTACAAATGATTGAAAACGAACTACCAAATTTTTTCCCCTTAAATAATGTTTTACAGAAAGCATTCTCAAACTAAGAGTCGATTTGGGCAAATAGGCCCTTATTATTACTCTACATGAAGCTGCTGTTACCACTCACTCTGCCCCCCCTAGAGAAAAGTTGGCCGCAGCGATTTCCTTTGAACTTGGTACACGCTTAGCTATTGTCACGAGAATTTGATCAAAATTATTCCGATTCCAATGCGATGTCCAGGACGCCCGAAAGAGCGAAAAGTTGTTTCTTCGTATTGTAATGCATTGGAGATACAAGGTTGTTTACGAGCACAGCGCTGAACAGGTTGAATTGTGTCGCGTGACGTCACAGCAGAGCTACCATGATTCATGTGCGTCATGTGCCTCGATCGCACTCAATCTTCCAACTGTGTGCCTCCCTCGCGAACTTTTCCATCCCTTTACCCCTTTCACGTACATAGTGTCAGCCTGCCTGCACCTAAGTATCTCCTCACAACTATCTTCCATTTTTTACTGTCTGTTTATGTTCAATCTTATGGATCATTCGCCTCACTGGTCGTATGTTTCTTTGACTTCCTCTCCTTTTCCTTTCTCCTTCAATTTTGGGAAAACTCGGTGTCAGGTGGTACTTTTCGACCGGAAATCCGATTTTTTGGTCGGATTTTCAAAATTCAAAAATCTAAGACGGCAGATTTCGCCAAAGTGGCAAAGATGTTGTCTTTTCATTATTATTATTTTTTAATGTTTATAGGTATGAGGAGCTCGAGGTGCTTGCGGAGCGAGTTGTAAGTTCATCGCGAAGCGAGGAACAGGGGGTCCAGGGGTGCTCCCCGGCTACTTGTGACAGCTTGCGTAGCGAGCTAATCACAGCTAGTCTTAGACTATGTGTTTCTTTTGTTTTTACAAAATCACATGGTGAGGGAAATTTCAATTTCTCAAAAGGCTCTTTCACTCTTTTCCAATTCCGTAACTACATATATTTAGAATTTTTTCAGGTAAAATGTAATATTTGAACTTTTGAGACCATCTCCTCAAGAGTCATTTCTCAAAATTAGGGCCCTTCTGCAGCTGCCTCTTCAATTACTATGATACGATGCATCTTTACTGTGACTTTTGGGGATGCATAAGAGAATTGTGGCAAAAAAAACTTACTTGAGTACGGTGTAAAAGCTATTTCTAGAGTGAGAGTTTCATTTTCAAGAACTTGCTTTGGAGTTATATGTATCTTGACAGCAATTGAGCCTTCATTTGCAATGTATGCGTTCGGGGCAATATCTGAGTCAGGCTGCTCCATCATGATGTCTGTTGCTATTATCCGACCACAGTACTTGGGCCCCCAGTTGTGTTGCTCCCTTTCAAATTGAAGATTGATTGGAAATTGCTGCTTACTTTGCTTAAACTGCAAACAAGAGAGGAAAAAGACACATCAGGAATACACTTGTAGAAGCCTACACAATAAACAAAAAATTATACAGATGTGTTCATGCAAACAAAGTCTATCTAAGTCAGTCATTTTTTGACAAAAGACAAAAGTGCAGGAGTTAAGGACTTGGAACATGCTTTAGATATATGTAATGAAATAATTATCTTAACAAGGCATAAACCATTTTCCTTAGTTGGCAACGTTACAGATTTCTCATAAAAATAGGGGGAAGGGGGGAGGTGTTAGGATGGGGCAGAATCAACATAGGGAACTCGTGATTCTGATTCATGGATCAAATATTTTCAGATGTCAAATAGTGGTCGAAGTTTGGAGGTCGCATCCTTGAGCACAAATATCATTCCAAGAATTCGTAGAATGGATCGTCTGTAGGTGCATGATCTCAGAACAATTAATACCAGCACATATTATCCACTTCTTTCTCTCTAACATGTTAGTTCCATGTGCATGATCCAAAAAAAAATGGCGCAAAATCAGCTAAACGAGAATTTTCCTCGTTTTTCACGAATGATAAGTGGAAACGCTGCGCCATAGCGAGAGATAAATACATAAATAGGTAAAATATGCATAAAGTTCCTGATAATGTGGCCACTGCGTACGAAAAATAAAGGTTTTTGAACTTGCAGAATGAGCTCAACGAGGAACAGCCTCCAAATTCTGAAATACTAGGTTTTCCGTGAATTTAGGCGATAAAATATGGCAACACCGGCTTTTTCGGGGGCCTTTGAATCCAAAAAAGTTCTTAGAGGAAGGTTTTGGCCATCTACGTCCATTTTCTGCCAAAAAATTTTGATTCTGGTGTAAGATGAGTCGCCTTTTACAGACCATTTTAAATAATGATGAAAAACAGGAAAATTCTATAAAAGTTTTTTTTAACTATGAGCGCAAAATTTGACATCGACGAAAGTTGGCCAAGGTGACTCTCTTACATCTCTAATGAACATACTTGAAGGACTTTTTGCTCCTCCGAAAAGATCGTCATGAAACAGCACGTCGAATGCCGAAAAACCCGTATTTTCCGCCAAAATTTGCCTCCAGACCAATGATTAGGCCAGCAGCCTGATTGTTGAAATTTTTTGTTTGTCGGGACTACATAGATGCCACACGCTAAAAGGCAGAGTGTCATTGGTCGGCTATGTCTCATCGCTGCTTTGTCGTGCCTATGTCTGGTTGAACTCACGACAAGCTAAAGGTATTTCTTAAGTTTACGACAGTATGTCGTCCATTCCATCTGACAAAGCATGACAAAACAGCGATAAGACATAGCCGACCAATCACGCTCAGCCTTTTAACCTAAAGTCATTTATATCGTCCCGACAAACAAAAAATTTCAACAATCAGGCTGCAGTGGTAGACTCCCGAATAGACCGGAAATTACCAAACCATGATGCATTCCGTAAGATATGGACCTTCGATGACCAAAAAATAGCGGAGTTGAGGAATTTCAGGGTAGCCCCAAAAAAGGCCTTTACGATACCCCTCCTTTCAATTTATAGACATTGTAGTAACTACAAACAGCAAACAAACTAGTAATAGGATATTAAGCAAATGTTAATGAATTTCTTTCAATTAGATAAATTGAACAGGTAACTCTTCACACTTGTCCCTGCATTTGCGATACTGCTGTTACCTAAACCGCTAAATGGTGGCGTGAAAAATGTCTGAGCCTCTCTGCTGTACGACTGTGCAATGACTATGGTTTATTCCTTCATTGTTCTCAGTATTTACATACTTCTTCATTTTATTACCAGTTATTTTGTTTATCATTTAAAGTTATCTAAGAATTTTATAAGAAAATTCGAGGTTTGACTTTAATTTTTTTAATAAATTTTAAAATAAAGTATTTTTTTTCTATGCGTTTCATGGACAAAGAATTTTTGAAAAACTTAATGAAATTTTTGATAAAGTTTTATAAAGTTTGCACTTCATTTTCTTTTTCTCTACTTTTAGGGTCATTTTGCCTGCCTCAATCATATTTAACATACCTGGATGTAATCGATGCATTCTTTTGTTGTTGCATTCCGACGAAGATACATATTCTGTATGACTGCAAATAAGCCTTGATTGTGAACGAAAACATGGAAATTGCAGTTAAAAGGACGAGTTCCAGGCCAACTATCAAAATAGCTCTTTTCCGAGAGAATGAGAGCAGGTTTATCCTTGTGGCCAATTAAAATATTTTTCGGTTTGAAAGCATATGAACAGACCTCATCGTTTTCGAAAAACACTGAAAAAAGTAAGCCTGGCATTAATTGAACAAAATCATTAACAATCATAAAAATAAATGAAAGTTAGGAACCCCTATGACAACATGGATGCCAACCCTCAACTAATCGGCAGAGCTAGGCAGGAAAAACAAGTATCGAGCTATTTTTTATTTTTATTTTTTTTATATTTTAAAAGTGTTGATTTAACTTTGTTTTCACTTATTGGTAAGGTGCTACACAGCAGTTCCTTGTTGTCATAATGTAAGTTTGAGTGCAATTTTTGACGCATTTGGAGTCCTAAACAGTCTGTAAACATAGGAAGAACCAAATCAAACTGAATGGTTTGAGAAACACTCTCATGTATCAGTCTGAAACGTTGAAGGACCTGAGTACTTGTTGAAGGGTTATAAGAATGAGAGTATACATGACTTACCGACACCATTCAGGGGCCACTCTACTCTACATTTTCATAAGAATGAAAGCAGCCAGAAGGAGTGAAAAGGAGCATGAAATACATTATTGGGGGTAATGTATTGATGAGAAAGATAACAAGACAGGTTTCGCTAGTGTCAGCACAGATTTTAAGGTCACAAATCAATAATTAATCAAAATCCAAGCTTAATTTCTGTGTCAGAAAACAAAAAATAGTTGAAAGGAATAGGGCGATTTGATGAATCTCTGCCTGGAGTCGTTGAATTTATTCATCTGAAAAGATCAGCAAATATCTGCAACCTGTATGCAAGACCAGTCAGAAAAGTAGGCCTACGGCTAACGGAGAGTTCCTATTTACTCTTACTTCTTGCTTAGTGGCATGAAATGCGACAGAAGAAGGGGTCAGTGTAGGGGCGTCTTCTTTATCTGATTAGCAGAATGTAGCAAAGTCACCGGAAGAAATTCATTGGTCGTCATTTTGATATAAAACTGCTGGTACCCATAATCAGTAGGAGCGCAATAACATCCTTTTTCTAATGTTATCAATTTCCATAAAAATCCAAATGGCTGAGTCCTATCCACAATCACTAGTTATCTACACCCTTAGCAAAATCACGGCTACAGCCAGTCAGCGGAAAATGGTACCTAATCCACCAGTGGTGACTCAATCAGGTGTGCCATCAGCTCTGACCAATTACTTACTTAGGGAATGCGATTGGCTTTTGAAAGGTGCTACCAATCATTAAACGAAAGCCCTTCAGGTACTCGCAAATGAAGAAAAAAAGCTTAGAATTCACTCAATGTAGGCATAAACAAAATGTCCCAATGGAGAGATAAACAATGTGGTAGGTAAGTCTAAGAGTCACATGTAGAATTGTCGAAATTGATTACTTTTGGATAGTCAAATGCATAGGGTAGGGTGGGGTCGGTCCACAATGTTTTTGTTTCATGATTTTTCCGCATTCTCTTAATTAATGGATTATCTTTCATGCATTTTAGGAATGATCTTTGGACCTGGAACTGTGCAAAAAAATAACTGGACACTAGGACAAAGTTTTCCCACGCGTAAGGTCAGTCCGCCAGTTGCAAATATGGACTTGAGAGGTAATGGAAAAACAAAATCGAACTAAGAAAAATGAAACAAAACAAATATATCTTGAGTCACAGCTTAGATACGTACAAAAAAATCCAATGACCAAGTACAAGAATTAAAAGTTTATTTTGATGGTCCAATGGACCACTAGACAGGGTACGAATGTAAGCATTCTAATACATGTTACCTAAACACAATTTCACGTAGAACACGATTCGCGCAATACAAGTTACTGAAACCAACTCTTAACGTTTTTATTTATATTAACGTTTTTATTTCATATTGGTTACGAGGAATTTGAACTGCCCGCTCACAAGAAACTCAAAGCTCTACGTGAGTCAAATTGTGCACTACAATGGTTTCAGCAAGCTTCTCAATCGAGCAATGTTCATTTCCCACCATGTGTTGTTCCAACTATAAGCAATTTGCTACAGCTGAGCCAAAGCGTCAAGACTAAGGTTGCCAGATTGTTATATAGCTGAGACGTTCATGATAACGTTTTGCGCGCGATGTGAATCACGTAGAGCAATGAGTTTTCATGAGTGGGTGGTTTGAATTCACGCATCAAGAATCATTAAATATCTTCTTAAGGAGTTAATTTCGGTAATTTTCGTTGCGCGCGTCGTGTTCTACGTGAAGTTTTGGTTAAGAAACATGTATCAGAAAGCTGAAATTCGTACTTTGTCTAGTGGTCCATTGTGAAAATTTATTTTTCTTAAAAATAAAGGAGGGGTATCGATAAGGGCCTTTTTTGGCCCCCCCCCCCCTAGAATCTGGAAATTTTTGCAGGATTTCCGAGTTGACTCAATGTATTTTACGGAAATAATCATAATTTAGTCCATAGGCCACTGGATACGTGTTAAACGGTTGCCTAAACATAGGTTTGCAGGCGTATTTTAGCGAAAAATCGTGTTTTTCTATCACTCCGCGGCTTTTTAGACACCGAGCGCTTCGTCTAACTAAAACGAGCTTTTGATATGTTATTAAGGAGGCTTTCGGACACATTTTAACCCTGGTTTGGTTTTAGTTAGAAGATGCGCTCATAGTTAAAAAAAACTTTTTCAAAAATCGACGTTTAAGGAACATCCGCAAAAATCATAGGGAACACGTCTCTCCAACTGTATGCACGCTACGTATGTATAGTATCGAGGGCAGTTAACAAGCCTTGTTAAACCCTTCCAAGGAGATTTACTTTAATTGTAGCCAAAAAAAAAAAAAAAAAACCTGATGACATAATTACTCTAAGATTTTTGCGGATGTACCTTAAAAGTCGATTTTTGAAAAAGTTTTTTTTTAACTATGCGCGCATCTTCTAACTAAAACCAAACCAGGGTTAAAATGTGTCCTAAAGCTTCCTTAATAACATATCAAAAGCTCGTTTTAGTTAGACGATGCGCTCGGTGTCAAAAAAGCCGCGGAGTGATAGAAAAACACGATTTTTCGCTAAAATACGCCTGCAGACCTAGGTTTAGGCAACCGTTTAGCACGTATCCAGTGGCCTATGGGCTAAATCATTATTATTTCCGTAAACTACAATGAGTCAACTCGGAAAACCCGCATAAATTTCCAGATTTAAGTTAATGTTATGCTATTAGTGAAAATATTATGCCTCCACTACTCCAAAATCCGTTATCTTCACAGCTGTTTGTATGGAAAATTCAATTTTATTTTGGACACAATTGAAGGAAATCTCCTTGTAAGAGTCTAGCAAGGCTTCATAACTGCCCTCGATAATATACACAGCGTGTATGCACTTCGATAGACGTGTTTTCCTAAGATTTTTGCGGATGTACCTTAAAAGTCGATTTTTGAAAAAGTTTTTTTTAACTATGAGCGCATCTTCTAACTAAAACCAAACCAGGGTTAAAATGTGTCCGAAAGCCTCCTTAATAAAATATCAAAAGCTCGTTTTAGTTAGACGATGCGCTCGGTGTCAAAAAAGCCGCGGAGTGATAGAAAAACACGATTTTTCGCTAAAATACGCCTGCAGACCTATGTGTAGGCAACCGTTTAGCACGTATCCAGTGGCCTATGGACTAAATCATGATTATTTCCGTAAAATTATTGAGTCAACTTGGAAATCCCGCAAAAATTTCCAGATTCTAGGGGGGGGGGGGGGCGCNGGGGGGGGGGGGGGGCCGCGCCAAAAAAGGCCCTTATCGATACCCCTCCTTTCAGAACCAAAAGAGCCATGGGTTTAAAAATGGCCTACTTACATGTAGGACAAATGTGCATGTGTAGTCACATGTAAGTTAAACGTAAGTCGTATTGCCTTATGAAAATTACATGCAACTGCCACTGGCGGAATTACCCCATCACGACTTGGCTACACTGAAGTGTCACCTGACGTGACAAAAATACAGATTTTTTAAAGAACAAAAAACGGAATCAGTAGCCTAGAGTAAGCAGACTAACATGATGAACTCACCAAATTTCTAGCAACAAACAAGCAACGTGAAGACAAAATGTCTTTCAAAAAAAAGAAAAGTACGCTAGGGAGCAAAATTTACTCTTTCGCTTCTAGACTGTTTATCAAGAAATAAACCACCGAGAGCACTTCCAACTGCTTACTCCCATTCTTTGAATTTCCAAAGATCATGCTACGGGCCCTGTGGTTGACTGGTTGACTGGTAGACTGACCCCATCCAAGGGTGCACGTTCTTCTACTTAGCCTTCCACATTTTAAAGCAAAATATTTTACCCCTTCTACAAAAAAATAGAGGACATTCTTCCACAATAATGGAGATGTTGCATGTGTTAGGAATTTGCGATTTGACTATGGATTCTTGTGTGAAAGTTCGCGAGAAACACGATGGTGCCACTGGTTTTCTCTGAAATCAACTCCCAAGCTCAAAAAAAGCTCTCTAGTTGATGCCAAAATGGAGGGGATATTCCACGCTATCCTGAGAGTCCACCTCTACATCAAGACAAACTCTCCATGCAAAGATAGGGCGCAAATACGTTGACAGGGCTGCCACTTTCTTTGGGGACTCTAAAACTGAAAACACAGCATCACTGCTAATGTATTTGCTCCCTATCTTTGCACGGAGAGTTTGTCTTGGTGTAGAGGTGGACTCTCAGGATAGCGTGGGATATCCCCTCCATTTTGGCCTCAACTTGAGAGCTTTTTTTGAGCTTGGGAGTTGATTTCAGAGAAAACCAGCGGCACCGTTGTGTTTCTTGCGAACTTTTACATTAGAATCAACGGTCAAATCGCAAATTCCTCGCACATGCAACATCTCCGTTCCGTTACCCCATCCACAAAAAGTGATGACCTTTCTTTTCCCTTTTTTGAATCAGTCATTTGTTGAATATATAACATGCTTTTTCCAAATTTTCAACCTCCTCTCCTTCTCTTGCAACACTTTTATAACATAGGTCCCAATCCTTTAATATGTTAAGACGAATTGGCGTCACTACTCCCATGACAGTAGACAAGAAACTAATTAGCAAGAATTCAGACTTATCAAGAAATTAAAACAGCCAGAAAATTAGGGAAAACCTGGTATCCTTCAGAGGGAAAAATTGTAGAAATCCTGCCACAATTTTTTCAGTCAAGAATTGTTCTAGAAGGCCTTATCAATCGTCTGTAATAAATTAGGAAGAGCCTTCTGCAATCTTCCGTGAAAAACTCTAAGGTAGCCCTGCTAAATTTTCCCTGCAGCTAATTTTCAATAAAAATTGAGGAAACCCTTCTACAATTTTTCAGCAAAAATTGTGAAGACCCTTCCACACTTCAAGGGAAAATTGTAGAAACCCTTCCACAATATTTCAGTAAAAATTGTGGAAACCCTTCCACAATATTTTTGTGAAAAAATGTGAAAATTCTTCCACCGTATTTCCGTAAAAATTGTGGAGACTGTCCTCAAATATTTTGGTGAAAATTGTGGGAGCCCTACTACCATGTTTTGATTGGTTAAGGATAATACATGATTTGAAGTGAGGGGAGAAAAAACAAAGCTTCCAAAAAATCTGGCAGGCTTCATCATCTCGTGAACATGTATCTGTGAAATTGGCAGTGACCCGCACAATTTCACACTAAAACTTTTCGCATGATCTAGAATAATATGCACCCCTGACCCCATCTTACCCTATGAAATTTGAATTCAAGAACACATTTGTAAGTGCAAAAGTAAGGTTGTCATTTGTAACTAAGGCCTTGCCTCTACAAGCCGTTTTCATGGGACTTGTCCCAAGTTTGAATCGCGATATGAAGCTTCTGGAATTTTCCTAGTTACCGTCTCGACGAGAAGGGGCGCTTTCAATCTTGCAACAAGTTGTAGTGGGAACATATGATAGTTAAAATCGAGTATTTAACCAGGATTCAGATGATAATTGAACACAATCAATAATTAGACGAATTATTTTAACTAAACAAATACGAACAACTAAATATCGCACAATTCGCTTTCACTCCTTCATGCTCTCTCAGTTGGTCTTAGGGTTTCCTACAATGACCATACTTGGTACTGGAAAATAAGTTGATTCACTCTATATTTGTCCCGACTTCGTTGATAGGATTTTTTCATTGGAGAAATATCGTGAAACAGCCCTTGGAGACAAGGCCTTAGAAGTCATGAAAACAGTAAATCAGAACCTGCAGCCTGATTGTTGAAATTTTTTGCTTGTCGGGATGACATAGATGACATAGGTTAAAAAGAAGAGCGTGATTGGTCGGCTATGTCGTATCGTTGCTTTGTCGTGCCTATGTCGGGTTGAACTCACGACAAGCTAACGACACCTCTTAAGTTTCCGACAGTATGTCATCCATTCCACCTGACAAAGGCATGACAAAGCAGCGATAAGACATAGCCGACCAATCACGCTCCGCCTTTTAACCTATGTCATCAACGTCGTCCCGACAAACAAAAAATTTCAACAATCAGGCTGCAGAAGGAGGCGATCTATGACTGTGGCATACGGCAGTTTCGATGCAACAAATGAATAGTCTATAAAAGATAAGCTCATAAAAGAGGCAAATATTTCTCTGAATGACCTTATGTACTGTATAATTTCTTAAAATACAATAGGTAAAGAAACTTACGCCTAGAATACTCATCACAAAATGCTGGCTGAAAAAGGGACGAGAAGCATGAGATAAATACACAGAACACAAGACTTTTGAGCACATCACAGGCCATTTCACATATTCGAAAGTACGTGAAGAGATTGAAACCGGGATATATAAGTAATAAACTAATTATCACGCTTCATTTTAAAAGGAAAGGGGTTCGTGTAAAGAATTTTGGTCTCTCTCTTGTTGTGTTTCTTAAGTTCTCCTGACTGTGACTGTTCTTACATAGAGTTAAGACAACTCACTTTTGGTTCGGCTGAAAGTGGCCTAAAAAAAAATCCAATTCTGATTGGTTCTCGCTTATGGAGGCCGAAACGAGTGCACCAAGATGGCGGTACCTCGAATGTGAACAAGAATAATGAAAATATCACCTAATTGTGGTTTATCAAGAGTAAATTGTTATTTCCATCGGTCCAAAATGAAAATAGATTAAGAAATTATTCACAAACCAATCTCATTTTCTTTTTAATTGATCAATTTGTTGATGTTGTTGTTTTTGTGTGACAGACATCGCAGGATTCCTGATCCTTATCCCTCAATATCGTTCGTTTGGGTGCACTCGTTTCGGCCTCCATGGCCAGTCAAGGCCGGCTGCCAGTCAGCTGATGATCGAGTTGTCTTAACTCTGGGTATAAAGGGACTCTATTACATTACATACAAGGTAGATTTACATAGAGTCCCTTTATACTGAGAGTCAAGACAATTCGGCTCATGGATGTCACAAACGGGAATAAAGATTACAGAAATTGAACGTTTTTCGTAATCTTTGATCGGCTCATTCTCAAATGCCTTTCTCCGTTCCTCCTCTCATTCCGTTTGTTCCTTGCCGAACCCGTAATTCCCTGGTCCATTCCAGATTATAATCTTTGCAATTGGTAAAAATGTAATCTTTATTCCCGTTCGTGACACTGTGGAGGCCTAAAATACGGGAACCAATAATCAGAAATGGATTCAAAGACATAAAGACGGAGTGCACGGGGAAAAAGTGAAGCCTGGTTTGGCGCTGGGTGCTTGTAGAGTACCTGTATAGCGAGAGTATGGACAGATGTGAAACTCCGAAAATCCATCAGGCCTTCACCGATGCTTCTGCGAATAAAGTTAGGGCCCAGAAATGCAGCCAACCTATGAATTTCAATTATCCAGAACGATTTACTAATACTATTGTTACGAACCGTCGTTTATTAAGCACGTGTTTGACTCAGTTTTTGCATAAATTTACTCAATTTCGCGGAAGAACGCTCATTTCTGTACATTCTTTGCTATCATGGTCAGAGATGGAAAGTGAAATTTCACGTTTTGAAATTTCATGAAATTTCACAAGGCCCGAATAAATTTCAAAAAAATTGAAATTTGTTGATTTTTCAAAGAAATATTGTTACTAAGCCTCGGAAACGGTTCAGATGATCCTCCTGCTGATGCAGCAGAATATGGCCCACTAATGAGATGCTACACCCAAAGGAGGGGGCACAAGGGGGGTTTTAGAGAAAGTTAGCCCTAACCTAACCAGGGACGAGTTCTATAGGACGCCGTTCTGTTGTGAGCGGGTGATTGCAGCGCATTCTCGCGTAGGATCCTAGTCAACTCAGAGGATCCTCCCCCCCGAACCACTCATCCATCGCCCGCTCCAAAAGTGAGGTTAAGCCGGAGATTGAAAAATAACACATAAGGCGGCTGAATTCTTGAAAAATAAGTATATTTTTGGCGTTTTTCGACCCCTTACGGCTGGGTAAGGCCCGCCGCATGATGCATTACAGTGAAAAATTCGATTTTTTGCAGTTATACGCGATCCTACGGATTTTAATGAAGTCCAACAACTGATAACAGCAGTGAGTTGCGAGGATCCTACGCGAGAATGCACCACTAGTACCTGCTCACGAATTTTTACATTAGCTACGTTTATGCGAGGCTCGAAACCGGGGTTTCATGAAACCCGAGTTTGTAATGCAAGTTTCCTCCGTCGGGTTTATGCGGGCGCTGTAACCCGACTTTCGCGGGAAATCAAACTTTCCGATTTTGGCGCTGTTTATGCGCATGTTTCCGATAGACTCTATTAGTGCCACGTCACAGTCGGTATCGATTGTATCGAACTGGATCCAAACAATCAAACATAACCTTACTGTTCAAAATGAAACTAAAGAATTTCAGAGATAATTCGCCCAGTTTGAGAAAAAAGTTGTGTTAGAGACAGCTCTTTTAATCGCGGAACGTTCCCGCATTGTTAAGTTGACGGGATAAAGCAGTTTCAGAAAGGTGAAAATACCCACGAGGGCCACCATGATTTAGGCCACTCCTATGCCACTCCAGTTTCTTGGCTTTTGACAGTGAAATTCTGGGAGGGAGGTGTCAAGATGAGGTTATGTTTGATTGTTTGGATCCAGTTCGATACAATCGATACCGACTGTGACGTGGCACTAATAGCGT